GCGTGCACGCAGGCACGCCAACCTGCAGGGTATACCCGTGCAGGCGGATGGCTTGCCTGCCTGCACGCCATTCTGCAATGGCGTGCAGGCGCGCACGCCAATCTGCAGCTGGCGTGCAGATTGGCGTGCGCGTGGGGGGTTGGCTTGCGGTTATCAACCCCCGTCTCTGAGAGCCATGAACGCCAGGCTCATGAAAAAAATAACCAAAAATTAAGATTTAAATGATGTAAATTTCATTCTGGGAGGGCTTTAAAATTGCAATGGGAAGTCATCCAGTAGTCTTCTGTTGAGTATAACTACGGTGACACAAGAGCTAAGAGGGATGACAGGATGTCAGGGACATACATAGTCTGGGGACAATAAGTCAAGGTGTAATAATCATTCAGTGAGGAAGGATAGCTGTTATAATGGAGGCTAAGTTGTGGGTGTATAGATTAAAAGCATACTACATAGGGAAATGCCAATACACTATCTCAACATCTTCTTCCTCTTGACAGTCTCCAAATATAAAGACTCCCAGATATTGTAAGGACTCTGATTGAGATAAATGATCACTTGAATTTCTGTCCACCACACTTCTAGGGATTTAAAGATGCAGGGGAACATTAATTGATGTCCAGTTCCCTGCTTGAAGTGTATTAAAGTAAGTGTTCTCTAATATGAGATGATCATAAATGACACAAGTCTGCCATCTTGATCAAGACAAATCCCACCATGCTGGTCAGAAAAACATGTGGCTCTGGATTAAACTGTCAACTGACTGTGGATACACAATTTTATATATTGTGCCCCCGATCTGTCCAGTTCCCTGGTTACATATTTAGATGCAATGAGTTCTGTGGGCTGAGGCATCCATTAGAGAGAGAGGAGTACGGACTTATTTGATGCTGTTAACACTCATAGTCCTAACACAGCTCCTCCACATCCACAAGTCTCGTGGGGTCCGAAAAGAGTGTCATTGTCGGTTTCTATTTGATGAAGATTCCGGGATTGGATGTCAAGGATTCTGATGAATTCTTCACCGGTGTATTCTAGGCTTGAGAGTTATGTAAAGATACCGGGGAAATTGAAATTTTTCGGTTCCTTGGACAGCCGACTTCTCGCAGAGTTCATTATCTTAAGACGCACAAATTCATTTGGGAGACAAATCCCCCAAAACTAGTGAGAAAAACTTGCTCTGAACTGACCACATTACTGATACCTTACTTCTGAAACGGATAAAGAACATACTTTGTCACCAATTTTGTAATATCGGCATCCACCAGAGGCAGTTGAGAGCAGACATTTCTTAGACGGTCTTACTAGTAATCAAGTACATGAATCGACAAATCTTGTGGTTACCGCAACAGTGTGAGTATTTTTTTTTCCGACAGTCAGACTTACATCAAGGGATTGGAAGTCATGAAGGTATCTTAGTGATCACTTGTGTTGTCCGAGGTTGAGCGTTATGTCCATCGAGATACCGGGGAATGTTGTAATCTTTCGGCTCCATTGACAGCCGAGTTCTTGCAGAGTTATGAATGAAAGGGATACATGAAGTTCATCTGCAAAACACGAACTCCCACAAAACTGGGGGGAACACTTGCTCAGAACTAACTGTAGCAACTTTTGTTTGGCATAAATAGAGTCTGGTTGGTCTGCTTGGAGACTTCTTCCTCTCCACAAAACCGATCCATCAAATTGAATTCATAAGAAGAGCATCATCATCTAAATTACCATTTTTGATAGCACGGCCTGGCTTCATCATCATACTTTTTTTTTTGAATAACTGCAACAGTTTATATTAGACGACATGCTTCTCACTGGTGCTTTCATCTTTGTGATGATGGTGTTGTATGTTGATGGGAAATCCAAGTTACCCAAAGACCAATTCACCTGTACTTCCGGTCTTGCTGCAAAATGTTTTGGAAGTTCTGGTACGCTAGAATCCTCCCCAGATTATTGCTTGAATCAATCATGGTTGTCTTATAAGCATCTCTCTCTCTTGTGATGACTAATTACCGACTCTCCGATTGACTGGCTGTTTTGTTTCAATTATTTAGGCCCCATAGATGCAACTGAAGTAAAGGGTAAAAAAGGGTTTTATAAATGTGATCTTGCAGTATCTGGTAGGGCATGTTGTTCAGGGGGCACTGTAAGTTACCAACACCTACAATCATACCTTTTCCACATCCAATCTAGAAAAATTGATTTATTTGATTCCCATTTTTAACAAAAAAGTGTATGAATCCACAATCTTGAAAGATATCTCGAGGTTGTGACTTTGGAGACTCTCCTCCACGGGCCACATGCCTTAGAAGGAATCCTCAATTACAAAACAAAATTGGATTTTATCCAGATTAATTTTTTTTTGAACTTGTTTGCTTTTATTCATATCTTTTTTTACTCTGGTGGATCTCATCATGTTTAGAACATGAGGATATTAATTTTTTTGTATCATTAGTTCAGAATAATGAAACAAAAAAAATACACAGATTGATTCACTTCATCAAAATTGGTGTTGCTGAGAACAGAGTTAGGAATCTGGTGATGTAAACTATCAACTGACAAAAACTGTACAATGACACCCCAAATCACCATCAACATCATTAAAGACACTAGAGTGGTCTGTACCGGCACAGTGGCAAGCTGCGGGCCCGGGTTGGAATTGATGTGATCAAAACTCTTCTAGTTTGATTTGTACATTGTTGGCCGGACTACTAGTACAGCAAACAACTCTCTCAAAGATTTGGCAAAAAAACACCATAAATCTCCATTGACGTCAAAAAGACATCAGTGTGGGCGGCGACGAGGCATGTTGACGGCCCGGATGGGAGTTGTGAATTGAATCTGGGCTTTGTGATGTGGTGGGTTGTAGAGCCTGTACCTGCAACGTTACCAGGGATCAGGACTTCTCCTAAGCGGGCTGGTTAAAAGGGTCACCGACTGGCCGAGAAAGCCGGAATGAGATCAAGGTCAAGTGACCCCTCCAATTTATCCCAACCGGCCCATGATCAAAAGCTATAGGTCACATTATGAACCGTGACCTACGTTGTGGAAATTTGTTTTCGACAGCAAATGGAGTTTGGGGTGTCCTTAAAAATATCGATTTTTTTTTTTTTTTTTTTTTTTGAAAGTTGCTAGTCAAGTCTTGACGACCCCATTAACTTATAAACCAGTTGGTGGGCACGATATGGATTTTGTATGACTAGGGTTGAATTCTCACTTGAAAGACGCAATTACCGTCTGTCTCAGTCTGTCTCACACTTGCCAGGATTGATTCCTTCAAAATCCCCGTCAGGATGATTAATTTTGGACTATGATCAACGGCTCGGGATGGACGTCAACCGGGATTGGGAGTTACGGATGTTTGCCCCAGGCCGGGGCAAGCTAATATGCATCACCGGAGTCAGTTGAGCAGACATTTTGTGTACGGTGTCAGCGCTAACGTTCATAACTTCATAAATTAACTGGGTTTTTTGGAGGTAACCGAAGCAAGCGTTCTTCTTGCCAGTCTCTAATGAAAGCTCGGGATTGGCTGTGAAGGGCTGTTCTGAGTGAAGACTTTTGTGCTCGCCGAGGTTGGGAGTCATAGCTACTAGGGATTCAAGCTTAATATTCGGTTCCCTTGACCGCAAAATTCTTGAATTGAGGGGCCCATGAATTTCATCGAGACAAAGCACTCAAAAGTAGTGAGCAACTTCCTCTGAAAGTACCTGGTTAGCTACTCGTGCACTGCAATGACAGTATTGACATAAAAAGGGTTGCTTGAATCTGCTTTGTCCCCATAAAATCAATACATCCAATCAAAAGTAGACCATCATCATCATCTACATAAATCTTTCGATAACACGGCTTGACTTGCTAGAAGTAGTCTTGATTCTACTTATCGATCATCACAATTTTCCGGATAACTGTAACCCTTGTTTGACAAAATGCTCTTTACCGGTGCTTTCATGTTTACGTTGTTGGTTTTAGTTGTTAATGCGAAAACCAAGTTAAAAGCAGGTGAATTCACCTGTCCCTCTGGTACCACTGCAACATGTGATGGCACTAATGGTAAGCTATAATTATCACCCATCGTATTCAACTCATCATCAATTAGTTAGAATGACTTGCTTACTGATTTTTCTTTTCCTTCTTTTCTTAGGACCCAAGTCTGCAACTCCAGTGAATTCTAAGAAGGGAATTTATAAGGCCTCGTTTGGCCGTCCACGATCGTTATAGGCCGTCGTCTCAAATCGTTAAATCAGAATCTAGGTTTGATGATTCCAGGCTGTGCAAATGACGCAGCCTGAAAATCCTTCTCAAACTTGCTGTGAGGCCTTATGACGGAAAATTTTGGGGGGACCCAAAATGTTGGAATTGGCAGGGAATATATCTCGCTGACCACTTCCGTCATAAAGAAAGTGGATATGACGTGGCCTCCCAAACACCATCGTGAGGCCCCGTCTTCAGCTGTGCGCCCCCGAAATATTCGCCATGATCGTTTATGACGATCATGGACGGCCAAACGAGGCCTAAATGTGATGATACTGTGAACTACTCTGGTTCCTGTTGTACAGCAAGCAATGTAAGTCACTCTGGAAATGATTTTGATCAACATCCAATGTAGATCAATTAAGGGCTAATAATTCATTTTCTTCATCACTTCTTATATCCATTTGTTGCTTTTTGTTTGAAAAAAAAAGTGTTCAAATGGGCAAACTTCTTAAGGAAAATTTGGAGTCAACCTCCCTCCCAAGACTGTTTTCTAATTTTGTTTTTGCTGTGTTGGATCATCAATATGTACTAGATCAACAAGATTCTTGAAAGAGTTTGATGAAGCGAATCTTGTAACTTTTAAGCAGCTTTAATGATATTCCAAAGGTTCCAAATATTCTGGCCGCTTAAAATACAAATCACAAGAATGTGGTTTTGTAAATTGCTTGAAGTGCTGATTAACAAACTAGCAGGATGATTGGCTGGTTTGCAGTTATGTATCCCTGTTGAGCTGGGATGCAACCAAGTCAAAATCCAACGATCTCATTAACAACCCACTTGTATGATTGCATGGACCTGATCCGTCCGATGCGTCGCTGCAACATTGACTTCGAGTCTTCCGCGCCCTTGTCTTCTTGCACTCCCACTTCTGCGGCACCATGCACCCAAACTTGACGGCCGGAGTGACAGAAAATGGCGCGTCGTTGTCTCAGATCACATCGGTCCCAAATCAGCTCTTTCCCTGAAATTGCAAGGAGATCTATACGTTTGCTCCATGCATAGATATCGCGTTTAATAAGCTTCTGATCATGGAGGCGATGGTCGGATCGAGACAGTCCGGACTCCGAGCCAGCGCACCCAGCTCTCGACTCTCGACATGCTCATGACCGCACAGTAATTTGTGCATCGATCACCGCAGTGAGCTAATTCCCTTCTCTATACCCATGATCATAGCCTCCAACCGCATGTAACCTTATTTACGAATTTCCCACCCAGGCAATTTAAATAGGTATGGAAGCCCAGCCTGTCAGTTTTGTTACATGTATGTCAATGTAAACACATACCCAACGACTGCGTTCTCTTATAAAACACCGCCCTCTCCCTGGGCCCCTGCAGATGAAGCATATACCCCTTTGCCATACACTGTCTCCCCATACTTTGTTGAAAATATAACCTGCTGCAAACTCGACATCTCTTTCACCCTCAGCTCCAACCAAATCCAGTCACACTACAAGAGTATCTATTCTTCAAGAATAAGGAAATCATGGACGGTTGCAAGCAGATCTCTACTCAACCCGCTGGCTCTGGACAAATGAGTATCAGCAATGCCGACCCCGGCCTCGGTAAGCAGCAGCACCTACAGACGACACCTTTTCGTTCTTCAGTTACGTCTGTTCATCCGAAAAAAAAAACGGCCTCCTAATATTTGAGCTCTTGTTTTGTTCAACTTGCAGAATCGCAACAAGCAGTGACCGAGACCGGCGGGTCATCTAAACCAATAGCCCGCGGCCCGCTGTCGAAAGCCGTCCTGCGGATGCGCGGCGGCGAGGGCCACCATTGCATCGCCGAATGCTGCTGGTCCGTCTCCCCGTTCCCCGCTCTCTCCAATCCTCTCATCACCCCGCACTGCATCCCACTGACTATTACTCCAACCCTGAAAATCCCTCGTAACCGGCCCGGGTTCGTGTGAAACACAATATGATGTCCATGCTTTTTTTCAGCTGTCTCTGCATCTGCTGTGGTACGTCATACACACATCCCCTGTTTTTTTCGAGTCGAAAGGTGCTCACATATCACTGCTTTCCACTCTTGATACGTTGCACCCATCATCACTGATCCCGGATACCCAGGAATCGAAGAGCTGTTATGCATCGAAGCGATCGACGACTGTTTTGGCATGTGTTGCTAGGCCTCGAGAGACCCGCCCAGGACCCCCCTGATGTGTCTCCATATTTATCCGCCCATCGTCGGCCGTCTCGTGTTGTACTGCCCGCTCTTGATTCCTGCTTCTTGCTTTATCTGCTTGTACCAACCCCGTCGATGTGATCAGCTAGGTACAGTCTATGGATGCGTCTGCTCACAACGCAGGCCCCAAACTTGGCCTTGTTCTGTCGACACATGTTGTAATGTCGTCCGGCTCAAGCGAAAGCAATCCATGTGCTGCCCAGTAGCTCTTGGGTGTTTTGAGAGGACGCAAGACCGACCGCTTGCCTTCGTGACCATCCATAGATCCCTGTATTGGGAAATAGTGCCTCTGTATGCGTTCGACGTGAAAATGTCATCGCACATATGTATGTATGCTTGCACAGCACTTGGTCTTGAACAGTATGCACGATGATGGATAACCTAACTTAAGAGCATCTTGTCATGACCAATCCGGTAACTTGATGATTGGGTAAAATGCTATCGTTATCGGTTAGTTAACGTGCCTGATGACGTATAAAATGTATATAAGATTTAGGTTATGCGATGACGTTTTCATTTATATGTATGATCTTTTCATCCGGATGATGTCATCTGTGAAAATGTTGTGATCGTCATCAGGTCCGTGCAGATAGTTTATATACTCTTATGTTTGTTCTGTCTTCCTCTTTTCTCTCTCTTTCCTTATCGCGATATTCCTTATCATTATCATCATTTAGATTAAAGATTACCAATAGTAATACATCATCATCAAACTTTATCTAATTATTGATTAAAGTCTTCATTAGACTTTCGACTACTTTCTTCTTACCGAGGCGAGTTATTCTCTTGAATAACTTCATAGCCACTGGACTTTTGAGAAGTAGTAGGCCGACCCTCACAGTTATATCGCGATCTCTATTTTTTCACTTGGTGGTTCAAAAAATTATTTATTATCATCTCAGAATTTATTCAACTTTCCATCAATCGAAATTTTTCAAACTCATCAACTCATCAACTGATTCCATTATCGACATCACCAATCCATTCCATTCGACTGTTTTTTCTCATTATCGACAACCCATTCGACACGATATGTCTGATTCTTCGTCCCCGTTGATTTCTAATTGAATGAGGCTTCCTTTGCCTACTCTTACTCCCCCGGGACAATTTTTATCGCCCCGCCCAAACTATTTGTCTCCGTCTCCTTCACTTCCTCCTTTGTCGCCGCTTCCCAATGATTTTCAACCGCGACCAATTCCCCCGATGTCTCCAACTCTTCTGGCTGCAGCGATGCCATACCTTCCCATTCCTGACTCTCCTCATATTATTCCGGCTACGGCACGAGATGATGGTGTTTCGAGTTTGATTTCTCATTTAGGTATCGAAAATCAATCGCTCAACGACACAATTCTATCTCATGCCCAAAAAATTGCAGACTTGGAGATTCAACAACGACGCTATCTCAAGTTGTTTGACGATTTGAAATCCCTTCTTCCCCTCAGCTCTCAGTTTGTCAAGATCAAGACCGATTCGAACGATCAATTTCTTCAGGTTCGGAATGCGATTGATTCGGTAAATAACTCCACCAACTCTCGTTTGGATCGTGTGGAAGGCTTTGTGAATCATTCGATAACCCATCCGCCTGTTCAGCCTAAGTCATTCCGAGATCCCCCTTACCTCTCTCATATATACTTTTCTGGAGTGTTGTCAGAAACTAAAGAGTTCTGTTTTGCCATGAGGCACTCTTTGGAGATGCATAGCGACAATTTCTTAAATGAAAAGCATAAAGTCATGTGGGTTGCGGGATACTTTCGGAAGCCGGACGGGAAGTTGGGCGATAACTGCGCGTCGTACGTTTGGTGGCGCGGTCTGATGGCGAAGAATGCACATCATCAAAATCTGGATCCGAACACCGCTTCGTCGAAGGCTCCGTTTCTCTTGGAAGAATTGTTGTTGGGTGAATCATTTTTAGTTGCGATTGAGACAACTTTCTCAAACCACAAGGGAGAAGAGGAAGCTCGCAAATCGTTACGCGTGATGAAACAAGGCAACACCTCGATCGAAGAATTCAACGTCTCCTTCAATTCGTTACTTTACTCGGTGGATCTTTCGGAAGCATCGAAATGTGATCTTTATGATGAGGCTATCAATCCGAAAATCGTTCAGCTCGGGATTTTACGGGGTGGATGGAATGGGGTGACGGATTTGGCGAAGAAACAGGCGATGGCGGTAGAGTTGGCAGCGGATGTTCCAGGAGTAGCTTTAATCGATCGTCTGAGTCAAAAGCCTCAACCGATAGTCCAGAAGATTCAACTACCTCCTAAACCGGAAGCTGCAAGACCTCCTCCGAAACTCTCTGATGGCGTCCCAATGGATATCGATGCGATTGCGGCCGAATTGGGTTTTACGTATGACGCATATCGACATGAGTGTGTACTTCAACACATTTGTCATCGTTGCGGGGGTCGTTACGATTCAGCTCATACAGATGCGAGGCGATGCCCTTTGCAAAAGGAAGCGCAATTGTCTAAACCTCAGATTTTGGGGATTTGGCGAGACTGGGGAGGAGATGCGGGAGATGGGATCAAGGATCGAGCGGACTCACGCACTAACCTTCCGCGTGGATCTCATTCTATTTCGGCCTTTGATCGATGGTCGTCTTCGTCAGGTCGATATCCACCTTCTCAACCGACTTTTCCTTCACATTTGCCTAGCAACAGCAACAAAGGGAAGAAGCGACAGTCCTTGTCAGAAGAATCTTCCGATCATTCGCCGAAACGAGCTTTGAACACTCATCAATCGAATTCCCCGATGGCCTCCACTAGTCAAGCTGTGGTGGATACGGTAGAAATGGAGCCAATGTCTCTTGGCGAAGTTGTTTTTTGAGCGTCAACTTGCGGAAGCGCAGTATGAGGAATGTAAGTCTTTTATTAGTGTAAGGACTTCTAATTTTTCTGATAACCGTCCTTTTTTCGACTCGTCTTTGTTTGAGGGTGAAATGGAGCTAACGCAATGTTCTGTATTGGTTGATTCTGGGGCTACTTCGTCTTTTATTGATGATTCTTTTGTCAGAAATAATAATTTACAAAAATTCAAGTTGGTCAATCCGATGCAGTGTCGATCTTTGATGGATCTTTAGCTTCTGCGGGATGGATCACAGAATATATAAAAGGGAAACTTTTGATTCCCACAAAAAATGACTCGATTTTTTTCTCTTATGTTATGTTACATGTGACTCGAATTGTTTCTTCTGATATCATTTTAGGTAGTTCATGGTTGAAGGATACAAATACTTACGTTGGCGGGTCAGAAAACAAGATTGCTATTAAGTCTGTGTCACAAGTTGTATCATCTATAAAGAATTCTGATGCTGCTTTTTTGTTTGATGAATTTAAAGATGTTTTTGTGACTGATTCCTTGGCCAGTTTGCCCCCACATCGTGAGAGGTTTGATTGTGAAGTTAACCTGAAGCCAAAAGCTGTTCCTCCGTTTGGTAAGATGTATAATTTGAGCAAAGGCGAAAGAGATCAGCTTAAAGAATATATTGATGAGAATTTGCGTAAAGGTTTCATTAGGGTTTCTTCATCTCCAGCAGCGGCTCCTATTTTTTATGTTAAAGTTGCGGGGAAAGCGGATCGACCTTGTGTGGACTACAGGATATTGAATGGTATGACTATTCGTGATTCATATCCTCTGCCGTTGGTTTCTCAGCTGTTGAACAATCTGCAAGGTTGCAGTTTTCTTTCTAAAATTGATCTCAAAGCAGCTTTTAATTTATTGCGAGTTGCTAAGGGTCACGAATGGAAAACTGCGTTTCGAACACCTTGGGGACTCTATGAGTACCAGGTTATGCCTTTTGGGTTGTGCAACGCGCCTGCCACTTTTCAACGGTTTATTCAACATGTCTTACGTCAATATTTGGATGTGTGTTGTTTTGTTTATATTGATGATATCTTAATTTTTTCGAAAACTAAGGAGGGCCATATAACAGATTTACGCAACATTCTGAACAAGTTGAAAGAATATTCTCTTAAGGCATCTTTAAATAAGTGCGAGTTTTTCTGTTCGAAGGTTACCTTTTTGGGGTTTGATATCACTAAAGAAGGTTTGAAGATGAGTGACAAGAAGTTGAATACAATCAGTGATTGGCCATTTCCTTCTTCAATTAAAGAGCTTCAGCGGTTTTTGGGTTTCACTAACTTTTATAGGCGTTTCATTCAAAATTTTTCTGGTATTGCGGGACCTCTAACATCGTTGACAAAGACAAAAAAGTTGCCTGTAACTGATTTTCAGTCGCCGGAGGTAGTAGGAGCTTTTCGTTTGTTAAAGGATTCTTTTGTTCAAGGTCCATTGCTGATGCATTTTAGTTTTGATAAAGTTAGGACAGTTCATGTAGATAGTTCGGGATACGCTATTGCTGCAGTTTTGAGTCAACCGGATCATGATAATCATAACCGCCCAGTGAGTTATTTTTCAAGGAAGTTAACTGACAGAGAACGATCTTGGCCAATTTTTGATTTAGAACTGTTGGCTATTGTGTCGGCGTTTGAAGATTGGCGGGCGTGGTTAATGGGAACAGATGAGCCGGTTAAAGTTTTCTCGGATCACTCTAATTTGATGTACTTCAAGAGCGCTAAATATCTATCGCCCAAACAGGCCCGGTGGGCTTGTTTTTTAGACAACTTTAACATGTTAATTTATCATATTTCAGGCAAGAAGAATCCTGCGGATGCTCCCAGCCGCCGTGAAGATTTTGTGGCAGATAGGCCAACTATTCCAGAATCCACATCCTTGCGCGACAAGTTTGTCATGGCGGGTAAGTTGGAACGTTTGGACAATTTCCATGATCTCCATTTTCAGCGCCCTAATGCGGAGTTGCTAGTGTTTTTAAAGAAGCATTATTCAGATGCTGACAAGGTATTGCATTCACTGACAATGGTTGATGATGTTTTATGGCATCGAGATAGGATTTACGTACCAGATACTTTGCGTGTCCGTATTATGTCCATGTATCATGATTCACCGGCGGTGGGTCATCCCGGTGTAGCGCGGACATTGTCAATTCTGTTGCGGACGTTTTCGTGGCCAGGCGTGAAATCTTCGGTACTAGCGTTTGTGAAAACATGTGACTCGTGTCAACGAGTGAAAGCGCGTCGGATGCTGAAGGATGGTAAGTTGGTCTCTTTGGTTCCAGAACCGAAACCGTGGAGTACAATCGGTATGGATATGATTACAAAATTGCCTCTGTCTGGAGGTTTTGATTCTATTTTGGTGGTCATTGATCTTTTGAGTAAACTGACTCACTTTATTCCCTGCAAAGAATCTTCGTCATCAGCTGTTTTGGCTAATTTGTTTAGAAAGAATATCTTTCGGCTTCATGGGTTGCCTGACAAGATTGTTTCTGATAGAGGAACTACATTTGTGAGTAATTTTTGGAAGGCTTTGATGAATTCTTTAAGTATTAAGTCAGCGTTATCCACGGCGTATCATCCTCAAACGGATGGGCAGACGGAAAGAATGAATCAGATCTTGGAAGATTACTTACGTCATTTTTGTTCCTATTATCAGGATAATTGGGACAAATGTCTTGATATGGCTGAATTTTCTTTAAATAACTTAGATTCTTCCAGTTTGAAAATTTCACCGTTCTTTTTCACTTATGGGCATCATCCTAAGTTTAATATTATGACAGAATCTACTGGTAAGCAGGATTTGGATGAATTTTTGTATGATTTACAGGTTACACAAGAAACTGCTATGGAATGTTTGGTCCAGGCTCGAATTCAACAAGCTCGATATTACAACAAGGGAAAGAAGGAGTCACCGGTTTATCAAACAGGGGATCAAGTACTTTTATTAAGGAAGTTTATCCAGTCACGACGTCTGAACTCGAAATTGGATTATCGCTACATTGGTCCTTTCAAGGTAGTTAAGATGGTAGGATTTAATGCTGTGGAATTAGACATTCATCATCAATACCCTAAGTTACATCCTGTGTTCAATGTGTCACTGATTGTAAGATATTTCCCTCCTAACAGTTTATTGAATCGGGGATTTTCTACTAATTTGAAGGATAAGTATTACGATGAGAAACAGGTGGTTGATTGGAAGAATCTTAAGGCTGTACTGGATTTTAGGGAGCTGAAGAAGGGCAGTTTTGATTATTTAGTTTCCTGGCGAGATTCGACGGTTGGGGAAGACACGTGGGTTTCTCACTTACATTTCCCTGATAAGCTTACAAGTTATTTGTTAAATTTTAGGAACACTCATGCGAAATATTATAAAAAAAATAAGAGAAAGATAGGGACGGTTTAGAGTATAAGGTAGGTCTGTTTTGTCATGACCAATCCGGTAACTTGATGATTGGGTAAAATGCTATCGTTATCGGTTAGTTAACGTGCCTGATGACGTATAAAATGTATATAAGATTTAGGTTATGCGATGACGTTTTCATTTATATGTATGATCTTTTCATCCGGATGATGTCATCTGTGAAAATGTTGTGATCGTCATCAGGTCCGTGCAGATAGTTTATATACTCTTATGTTTGTTCTGTCTTCCTCTTTTCTCTCTCTTTCCTTATCGCGATATTTCTTTATCATTTATCATCATTTAGATTAAAGATTATCCAATAGTAATACATCATCATCAAACTTTATCTAATTATTGATTAAAGTCTTCATTAGACTTTCGACTACTTTCTTCTTACCGAGGCGAGTTATTCTCTTGAATAACTTCATAGCCACTGGACTTTTGAGAAGTAGTAGGCCGACCCTCACACATCTCCACCGCGGGTTGCCAAACCGGGTTGCTAAACCAATTATAGCAACCCGAGCCCAATTTAGCAACGCCACCGCGGTTGCTAAACACCCCAAAAAATGGCAACTCACCTCTCGGGAGCTATCGAGTTGCCAAAGATAACCACACGATAGCAACCCAACCTGCCGAGTATGTATCACAGGTCTTTCTTGTGATTCTCCATCTCGCATCTCCCCTGTCCCCCGACACCATTCCCCAGACATACACCCCCATGACCGGTACCGACGGTAAAGTCCCTCTCTGAATTCGGAGGGAAGGGACCCTCCTCCCTCCGGTCGGCGCAATGCGACCAGTGTCTCATCACTCCGTCATGTAGGAGGGAGGGACTTTTTTAAGTCAGATGGATAACACGGGCATGAAACGTCACTCTTTTGCAGCACCCGCGCTCACATTGCCTTCGACTCTCAAGCGGTGAGAAAGAAGTGGCTGCTCAAGAACCGGACATTGCAGGGCCGTTCTTCCTTTGGTTGGACCAGCCTCATCTGGCACTCGTCTCGTCTCAATACAACCCCAACAAGTTCTCTCGTATCTTTTCCGCACCTCAAAAGCTGGCGAGATTCACGCTAGCGGTGTCAGAACAAATGTCGGACCATTTTGGAGATCAGTGAGAAGATCAAAGGACTCGGAAAGGTATATGACTAATAAGGAAAATTGTGGGGCCATTTTAAAGAAGCAGGCAAAAACTTGGGATTAAGCAAAAAATGTCAGGCCCTTTTTCAGAAATAGGCTACCGGCTAGCGGTGTCAGAGCAAAACTTACGCAAGAACAAAAGACTTGGAAACGTATAAGAGGAGGAGGACTGACTGGTGATTATGTCCAAACGCAGGTTCAGCGAGAGAATTAATGTTTCGAGCGACATCGCTGGTAGCGATACCTGTGGGGGACAGTGGTTTGGGGTTCAATGTTAAACCTTTTTTAATCTCTGAATGTCCTCTTTGTTTAGGGGGCCGCATCTGTAAAGAAATGGTAGGACTCTAAGATACCCTTCTCAAGGCCTCATCAATTATAAGTTCTCCATTATCCAGCTAGTCGCGAGAGAAGTGCGTGTCCTTTGTCTTAGCTTCGCGTGTAAGGAACAGGACGCGTAAGCTCTTCAAGTCCTTGCGTCTTTCTATCAATATTTACTCATCTGTTATTCCGATTCAAGGGCTTACATTCCTTGTCACCATTTGACCCTTGACACTTATGGAGTGTGAGCGCGATGGACGTTCTGAGATAGAGATGTGTCATGACCATGCCATCATGCAAGGATTTTTTAGATCTCTTTTATTAGGCACAGATTACAACCGAAGACGTATGACCGGACCAGTCAAAAGAAAGGTGTTTTTCTTGGAAAATCTTCAAGAAAAGACCACAAGCGTAAACCACCAATTCAAAATCAATTGTTTGACATCCAAAGAGATGCAACTACAATAAGTTACGACCGATGAAACCCTTGGACGGGTCCAGCCTGAGTGCGCACCAACAAGGGAGAGTTTGCGACCCGGCTTTAAGGGGTCCTTGCCCGGTTGCCATCCGGGAATCTGGCAGCTGAACTGATCCAAACCGCGTTGGACGGTTGTGAACCAGCCGATAGAGTTTGTGAGCCCTGGTCAAGCCTATGTTGCTGTTGATGTATTTCCCTCTTCGTGGTACGGATAGTAGGAGTAGAGCAGCTGGAACAAATGTGTATAAAAGCTGGCTGTGTGTCCGCAATACCAACTCTCTGCATCCCAACCATCACTTTCTTTCCTTCTCCTCAACCCAGCACAGCTCCTCAGCACCTGCACAAATCCACTTGGCACTATCCATCCAGCCTCAGAACTCCCTTCGCATCTAGCCAAACAAATTTTTTTCTTGAAGACCACAACTCCCGAGTCAATACAACACCCAAGAAGAAAAGCCTTTCAAGACCTTCAGAAGCCACCATGCAATTCAACACTTTCCTGATCCTGTTCTTTGTCAGCACGATCATCAGTGTTCAAACAGTCATGGCCATACCTACTTTTGGATTACTCGTAAGTCAAAGACCTGATCCAAGAACATATCTCTCCCGGAAAGCTCACCATTGAATTTTCACTCACTTCATTTGCTCAGCATCATGGTGGAGGTTATGGAGGAGGTTATGGAGGGGGTTATGGGCGAGGTTATGGAGGGGGCTATGGAGGAGGTTACGGTGGAGGCTATGGCACAGGCTACGGCGGAGGCTATGGAAGAGGCTATGGTGGTGGCTATGGTGGTGGCTATGGCGGAGGCTATGGTGGAGGTTACGGGGGAGGATATGGTGGAGGATATGGTGGAGGGTATGGAGGTGTTGGCCTAGGTGTAAGTACCTTTTACTTTTCAAGCCAGTAGCAGTCTTCTTATCGCGGTAGCTAATCATTCCCAACCAATCATTGCGTTTTTTACCTCTCTTAGGTTGGAGTTGGAGTAGGATTAGGAATCGGCATCTAGACGTTGGGACTTCCTCATTTCTTTCTTCTTCTCACACTCCCCTTAGCCCTCGCTCTCGCCCACACAACTCAAACTCGGGCCGCATCGATCGCAGCTTCGCACAACTTATTTCGCTGTACCGATGGCATCAATGAAGCAATTGGCTTAACGATGACTGCTCAGACGTCATGCTTATGATGCGCGCCCTAATGCCACATAGATCATTCATTTTTACATACCGACCAAATTATTTGTAATTATTAATAGCACACGAAAAAAAAGAAACTAAAAATTGTTCCACACAGATGAGAATCAAGAGTTAGGACTCAGATTAGAATGTCTCAAAAGGACGAGAAAGGCTGTCCAGAGGTCCTGCAATGTGATCATTCTGGATAACAGATTTCTTGTCGGCGGTAGCCTCTAGAGCGACGACCATCGAATGGTAATAGACTAGCAGTCTAGTAGCTGGCACGTAGCAATCTAGTAGGTACAACGTACGCGATAGGTCCTCTCTGCACCGCAGAAGAATCTAGAGATCATAATAGTCTAACACACTTCAGAGAGAAAGATAAAGTAAAAGGACGACTTACTTTTGAAATCCCCAATCAGAGCCGATCAAGGATGCCTGGTTAGAATCCATGCAGAGAGATCTACCAGCCAGGCGGGTCCCAAGAAGATGCCAGACGCAAACTGCAGTGCACTTGTAGCAAACCTACGACCATGCTTTACAAATACAGACTCCCAGCTCTCGTGAGACGACCGAAAGCTGTTATGGACTCTTCATCTCACAAAAACAAATATCTTACTTGTCCTTTTTTGCGATTTTTTGTCTTATGAATGAGTACGGTGTAGTAGCGTTCTAGAACAGGTGCTTTGGACTGGTGCTTCGTGAGCGGTTTGTGCATCCATACTTTTTTTTTAAGTGCAGTTTGATTTGGCATTGCACCAATCTCTGTGGTCCACTCTTACCCATGGAATCCTACTCGATGGGCTTCGATACTCTCCAGTCGAGTAACTCGAGCTGCCGGAGTCATGATGTCCCACCTTTTACCGTTTACCAATGAGTTTATCAACACTGGGGCCGAACTTGATGAGATTGACATGATATGATGACCTTGTTGTGGCCTTGGCATTTACGTAAGCATTAATATCCAGCTAGGAGGTTTATGTAGGCTATGTGGGTCATGTCCTGTAACCACAACCAACAATTGTGTTATCGAGTCGCTCTTTCGGGCATGTTGGAATCCGGTGAGTTGTCTACTCGCGTGTAAACAAGTGGGTTCAAAGTTACCTGACTCCTAACTTGGTTGGGGCTGGTTGTACAAGGGTAGGAAGAGACTCAAGAGTTCGATTTTATAATGGCCAAGTTTGACTGGGCTCCATGGAACAGCTTGCATGTGTTGGTACTTTTGGAAATTTGGACTATACATACATGCAACGATGCCGATTCACGTTTGGCAACCCCCTCGCGGATGGCGACATCGCAGAGACACGATGGCGTGACGAACGATTGGAATGGCGTGATTATTTTTTTTCCAAGAGTCTTCCTTTTTGCGCTCATCATCTCTGCGTTCCATCCAGGAGACCTCACGCATGTTTAAATACCCAACCAAGATGGGATGGCGAGTCGTCCACCCCCCACTTCTTCTCAAGTTTTGGCTTCAACATCGATACCGCTGCTTTCTCCCACTGGACTACGAGATCAGGATTCTTCGCTGAAAGTATCTAACCCCAATTCGATCAACTCGTCAAAATGTGCAGGTCAGGGAACTCTTTTGCTGCCGAAAGTCGTATGATAATACTGAAACAATTCCTTCGTTTGAATTGGTTCGCGTCCAGACTTCTCATCTTCAAGGGAGAGCCAATTGGTCTCTCTCACTTAATCACTAAGCCCTCTCAGTCAGCCATCTTCTTTTTCTTTTGTCTGGAATATCTGTCAATCCTATGCCTCCAAAAATAAGTTACCATGAAATATTTATGTCTGATTTTTTTTTTGGTTCGGTTCGTAGTTCGATTATTAACCAGGCCTTTGACTGTCGATTGCGATTAGGTATGCGGATCAATTGACCAGTGGCCATGATGCTTCTTAAGAATTGCAGCTGAAATTGATTCCACAACGCGTCCTACAGATGCTAGACCAGTGAATGCCGATGGGTTCGGTGTAGGTAAGAAAGCGCTCATCGGTTCACTTGCACTCCCTTTTTTTCTCGTCGAATATAGTCATATTCATCTTCTCTTTTTTTTTTGTTGTTGTGTCACCACAGGCTGGTATGACACAGAGTTGGAAGACTCGGTACCTTGCGTGTTTCAAGCAATTACACCTGCATGGTGTGAGTAAGAAATTTTTACTCTTTTTTCAAGAACATGGATCTTCTCGAGTCGGCGAATTGGGCAACTTATGTTTATTTGTTCTCTGAGCTGCAGCAAATCGAAATTTGCATCGCTTGGCAGAAAAGATTCGATCTCCCCTGGTATTGTGGGTCTCGTTTTACGCTTCAAAGTTGTACTCGGTGCCAATTGCTGATGACCTAACTCGATGTAATTGGTTCCTTCAGTGCCCATGTCAGGGCAAGTACCACGGGAGCGCTTAGCGAAGAAAATTGCCATCCTTGGGTGAGTGTATTTACCCTGCTCTCATCTTTGGAAAAACAGAGGTTCTGACGTCCCATTCATCTCAGATCTACGGCTCATTACTCTGGATGCATAATGGTAAATACTTGAGTTTAGAACACGTTTAGATTTCCATCCTTCTGCAGAAGATAATGGCAAAGTTCTTTCCAGCTGACCCAGAGGGAAAATGTTCAATTACACAGGCAATATTTCTGGCTTCACCAAAATTAAACGTCATCTCCAGAATGAATTATCTGAAGAATTTTTCCATTTTCCTCAAGGTAAGTCCCAAGAATATTCATATCAAGGTTTAAAATTAGTCAATACCCGAATCCAAACCATTTGGCTCTGAAATTTATCAGGGAGCACCGATTCCGAATGGGCGTTTGCGTTATTCTTGAATGAATTAAGCAAGGTATTTCCGCCCGCTTTTTCTTCTAATTGTCCAAGCAGAATTTGAATTGATCTGAGGAAATTGATGTTCTCCAGATAGCCGATCCGAAAGCCACATCGTTTCCCTATGTGACGCTGAAAGAAGTCATGCTTTTGACGATCGAGAAGATCAAATGCTGGTGGGTTCAAGCGGGGGTCCAAGAGCCGTGTCGGATGAACTTCGCGGTGACCGACGGCCGGAGCGTGGTCGCGACGAAATATGTAACCAGTTCGACAGAGGACGCTGCCAGTCTTTTCTTCTCCACGGGCACCTCGTTTGAACCTAGCAAACAAGTCAATATCCCTCCCCCGACATATCTGGATGACGATCATCAGCCTCGTCCGGCTGAACAGTATCGAATGGTAATTCATTGTCATCCAAGCTTTTGCATCGCATCATTCTTACCATTAATGTCTTCGTTATTCAGCAAAAATATGACAAGAGAGAGAAGATCGTTCTGATTGCGTCGGAGCCGTTAACATTCGAGAAAACCGATTGGATCGAAATCCCTTGTCAGACGCTGGTTGTAGTGACACCCAAGGTATGTCAATTATGTGGCTCCTCATCATTCCGAAAGCTGGCTGAAAAGCAGCTTATAGCAGAATGAAAAATTACTGACAACTCTGGTCTTTTTTCTTCTTCTCATTGGCAGATGAATGTACTTCAATTCCCAATAATCGACGAGTTTGTTGATAACGTTTATAAAACTGGCATCTCACTCACTTCAAAGAGTTTCTATCATGTTGAATAATAGACTCATGATCACGTCACAGTAAGATATGATCCTTAGTTTTCTTTCTATATATGAAACAGAAATCACTGTTAATCTTCTTGGCTGCAATTTGACTATAATCGCAGCGCTTCATGTTTCTAGATAGATGAATTATTCTTTATCATAGAATTTTTTTCTTAGCCTGTGTCTTAGAACTTCATTTGTAAAAGACTGTATTTGGACGATTGAACTTGATTAATTTACTTGCATTTAATATTTAAACATGTCACCTAATGTGATTTCCCCAATCCTTTGAACATCACTGAAAACCATTCGAAATTGATTGATAGAGTCACGATGGGAAGAGCTGAGCTCTTTTCACCAAGCACTTCCACTCATCTTTTCTGGCTCATGGCACGTTGTATTTTTCCAATGATGCATGATTGCTCAGTATGATTTTGGTTTTATCGTTGTTTGATTTCTGTACAAAGTTTACTAGCTAACTGAATATTCTCTGCTGTTCAAAAGGTACAACCGTACAATCGAATGATATAATTGCTTTGAAGCTTTGATTGTTATAGTAGATTTGTGTCCATCAATCAATTGCCGATCTAATAATTACTACTTTATTGTCTATTTATTCTCTTCTATCATTTGTAACTCATCACTTTCTTTAGGGTGGGTTGCCCTTTTTCTTCTGAGTCTGACCACCATTATTACCTCCATTTTTGGGATTACCTCCGCCCCCGCCTCCGCCTCCGTTTTTCTTTTGAGTACCATTACCTGCCTGTTTCTTTTTTTGTTGGCCACCTCCTCCCCCTTGGCTACAGCACTCCTTGTTCCATTTTGTGGCGATTGCGGCTCCCAAAGCATCCGTTGTTGCCTTTTTGATCAAATTGTTGCATGCATCCACATCTTTCTTGTCCACATTTCCGCAATTGGCTTGATTGAGGGCTCCGCAGAGGTTTTTCCTGTAAGTGGAAAGATAGGTTTCATGACATCAGTTGAAGTTATACTCAGCAACATAAAAAATCAAAGAAGCAAAAGATGGCGAAAATCAATCTGATGGATTTGGATTTGTTGGTACTTACAAAAATTTATTGCCTTCAATCCGAGGTTGGACAACTTTGGCTAGATTTTTGTCCAGGCTAGCAAACACATCTAAGAGCAGAGATACCCAATGTAAACAATCATTCATAGATACTTATTAGACAGATAAAAAAAACATCATAACCAATAAAAGGCTCATATTAAGTACGTACTGTTTTCAGCCGTGATTTTGAGATCACATTTGCCGGATTTCAGCAGTCTTTTTTGCAAAGACCTAGCAGAAATTGAGCTGCCATACAGAAAAGCCAAGAGGAACAATTGTTTTGGGAACAACATGCTGTCTGATAGTTGCTTCAATGAGTGTCCACGATCCACTTCCAGAGTGAAGAACCGGGAATTGAGAATTCGCTGTCTGCTGTTGACCGAGGTGGATGGTTGCACTTGAGAAGCCACTGATCTTGAGTGTTAGTAGAACTTTGTAAAGTTTTTTTTTAATCTAATTTAGCTTTAATGGTTTATCGTTGGTATAGGTTGATATATGTGACTGGTGAGGTAAAATGAAGATTAATATGTATGTGAGTTAAAGTGAAGATTAAGTGCCATGCCATCCAGCAAGGAGGGGAATCTCTGGGTATTTGTGAGCCAGTGAACCAACCTCAATCCAGAAAATGTCGCCGGTTGCTGTAGTGTAAAGAACATTGTTCCCAAAACACTGGGAAACATCCCGGCATTCGGTTGGAAGGTAACAGTCACGAAGTCATCATAAGCATGGAGGTGAGTATAAGATACTAATCTCGGAAGTAAAGTACCATTATCCGAGGTCGCACAAGTCTCATGGCAGTGTAATATAAAGTCTTGGTTCACATCATTGTTGTTGTCGAGAGTCGAATGAAAACAAGTCATGACTCATTGCGACCCTTAAATGATTATATTTACAGTCGCTCACCGAAGCACATCAGTAACATACTAGCGGCAGTAGGTCTTCTACATCCGCCATTACCACGAGTCGACTGGACTTGTGGACATACAAGCAATGTCGATGGGTGGCGCAGCATTTGAAGTCCGGACCCAAAATTGTTCACTGCAGTTTTCACTTCCCACAGCTACTGCCGGCAAGGTGACCGAGGTATAAACAGCTCTTAACCGACCATGACCTTGGTGCTTAATTTGATCGAGAAACTTATAACCGCAAGTCAAGAAAGACTTCGTGTGATCAGCGATTCAGCGGCGCCTGAAGTGGAAGGCAGTCACTCCCATGGCCTGTAACTTTCAACATAACAAAACTCAATAAAATTCATTGAATTATATTTTGAATGGTTAAAAAGGACTGCAAACATAGGACTGATGACTTGGCAGGATAAGAGGATTGGGATAAAGGGTGAACAGAACTCATCCAGTGAGCTCAATAATTCCCTTGAGCATGTGAAAAAAGAGACACAAAAAAATGACTTAGAATTCGGAATAGCTTCTTCTTCATATGAACACATATTTCTAGGAAAGTTGATGTTGATACAAGACATTTCTGCCTCTCAGAAATTCTTCAAAGCGGAGAGAAGTAAGCCAAGATGAATAATTCTTATGATAAAAAATGACTATAATACGCGGAGAAATATGTCTCAGATTTTCCTTGTCTAAATCTGCCGAAAAGTATTCCAAAAGTGTCAATTGAATTTCTCCAAATGAAACTGGTTTGTCGTATGAATCGCTGTACCAGGGAGCAATACCTTCAGGAGCCTGAACATAGGCGAGCAGTGGAAGGCTGTCTTTTGGTTGAACAATTTCTTCAAAAATATATTGAATCAAAAGCTTTCTCCTTGTAATGCGTTCTTGCTTTTCAATCTTCAGCCTTATCAGAAATTGTAGATGTAGATGATCCACCGACTTCAGCAACATTCGATATCTTGGACATAATTCATCCACACTAAGTAACGTTCCATCTCGTGGATTCACGATTCGTAAGGGTTGTAGAGCGCTGGAACTTTTCTGAGGAATGCACATCGATATTGGTAAGTTTGGATAATAACTCCGAAGATGTCCTGGTCTCATGAATTCTAGCATGTAACACCTTTTCTCAAATTCAGAAAAGGAAGGCATAAACAAAGCATTGTCTTGTTCTGAAAATGATGATATTTGATACTTGTATATACTCTCTATTTTTAAGTCTTCAGCTAGACCCAATAAAAACTTAAGGCTTTCCCGCAAATGTTGTTTTCCTGATATTTGACTCGGTTTTTCAAGAGTGAGGTTTGAAGGTTGGTTTAATGCTAAATATTCGGCTTATGAGTGATGGAACGTTGGAAGATATCACCCAGAAAAACTCTTGTTGTAGTTAGAATGCGATATGATTCAAGTTACATCAAGTACAGAAGGATGGATTTACTCACTTTGATGTTGCGTTCGGTACAATTTGAGTAGACTGGAGGCACAGCTATTTGGATCGCAATTTTCCTCAGAGAAGTACTTGATCAATTCTAATTGAGGATCCCCAACTTGAACCTCGGGAGCCCCTGAACCCCAATGAAGATCGGGCCGAGCGGCGAAGCCCAATACAGGAACACCGGAGGTGGGCTCAAATATTTCTTTTTCCAGCCATTCGAAAAATCTTTGCTGCTGTTTTCTACGATTCAATATTGGTATGTTCAGGAGAATTAATAATGCACCATTGATCTTGAATGAGGATATCAGCAAACGATTGTACATCGTCAACAGGCGTCGGTTGATTTGTTGGCGGAGGTGCTTGTGGTGTAAGACTTTCGCCAATTTCCCTGGGCCGTTTGCACGATAGAACCTTGCGATGGGAATGTGCGGGTGCTTGTCGATCGAAACACTCCGGCTGGAGTGATAGTCCTCTGAATGAATTGTTTGGCGAAACGTTTTGCTAAATTTACTAAGGAGTTCTTCAATAACCTGGTTGTTGGATAGAAAACCTGCTACATTGTTGTTTGACAGCTCAAGACTTGTCCGATACGATGGCCAACTGCTCTGTGGGTCATGTGCAAATCCTTGTTTATGGTCACTAGCAGGCAAGAGTCGCCTTATTCTATTCCCAACTACCTGATCAACCGCGACAAAGGAGTCTGGGAACCCAGAGTGGTCTGGGGTAAACGCACTTTCGGCTGCGAACCTTGGCTTGATAAGATCTATAGGCATGACAGAGCGTTTGAATTATTATATTTATCTCAAAATTTAGCCAGCCAAGAGGCGCTTTTTTACCTGTGCTTATTGATCCACTATCAGCATGCGATAGACAAGCACGGGGTTCAGGTGGGCTGAGGCTTGAAAGTTGAACCGAGTGGAATTTCCGTTTCCCAAGGAGACTTTCTTCCGCGCTCGGAATTGAAGGAGTTGCCGGTTCTGTGAATGACAAGGCTTCTTCGGAGGTTTCCTCCGGCGTCAAGTTCAAGTCAATGTCAGGCCGTGGGGCCAAAACTAGTACGGAGCACCACAGGAGCTGAAATTGGAAGGAACGAATCGGAAGCATTGCAAGATAGACCATTTGAAAACAGAAAGAAACAATCAGTCGGGCGAATCGCTCACAAAGTGCTTGGAATTAATTGATCACACACGGGAAATGCTTTATAAATTATATGGACAACAAGGTTGCTTTTTTGAATTGCGTCTCCGGTGTTTCAGATCGCGTTTAGCACCGTTGATGGGACATGTGGCCGACTGCAAACAAAAGTCAATCCCCGATACTTTTAAACAAGAGTCGGAGAAGCTGGCTTCACCAGTTCAGTAAGGTTTGCTATATCCTATCTAACTTGGTCCTGGGGAAGGTCCTGGACAGAAGCCCACATGGATACAAAACTTGGAGTCAATCTTGTGCACAAGAGACTGCGGCTATTTCTGGTTCGGATGAGCACTGAGCTGCGAGATGTTGATGATGCACTTACACAAGGGGGTCATGTCATACTGTGCCGGAGGCAGGGCGTTCGGAGGTTCTCTGCGGGATCGTCCCCCCTCCAACCGTCATGAGGGCCTCACTGCCCACCCCTGTCGACTGCCAACTGGCTATTCAATAGCCCTCGTACACCGAGTACGAAGGCTATACAAGGTCATCTGAGATGACCCTCGCCGTCCCTCGCCCCGCTGGCTGAGGATTACATAATCAGCTCGTCCGAACTCGCAAGCAAAGGTCCATTGGCTTCAAGCGCTGCGCAACCGCTGGGGATCGCAGCATTGCACAGCTGCTGTCATCGGCATCATCGGTCCCAAATCCCACCCGTGCAGCCTCGTACCTCAAAAGATGCTCGCAGACAACCGATCCAAATCGAGGTTCTGATTCCAATTGGACACTCGCATACCGGAGAAGGAGACATTGAACAGGAAGGTCTTTTAGATGGCGGTGTTGGTGAAGAAGACAAAGAGCTTCTGGTGCAGGCTGTTTTCTAATGATCAGGTAAGCGTAAAATGGTGTCAATCGTTGGCTATACTCCCTGCTATCCAGGTTACAAAAGGAACTTTGTAGGCAGTTTTTTGTGAATTTCAAGATAAAAAAAGCAAAGTGATGAAGATGGAAAGAGGTGAAAAATAAGAGGAAACAGATGCAAGAATAAGACAGTATAGCTTCATGAGAGTGTTTAAGGTTTGAAATTTCAAGGAAACCAAAAGAGGTCTGAGGGAGAATGGGTTAGTAAGTAATGTGTAAAAGAATTTGAGTCCTCCCCCAACTTGAAAATTGAAGGAGAGTTGTTTTGGAATTTGGGTCAAGCATCTCTCACAATTTGAATTTGTATCCTAATGATGTTTCATTCTCTGAACATATGTTATGATTTGTACAGTTCTTACTTGCCTTTCCCATTGAGCATGGAATTTCATTTATTCTACATATTTACAATGCCTTGAGTGTCAAATTGATAAAGTGTAAGATAAATGCCAATAAATGATAGAGACTGAGTTCAGAGTTCCTATGTAATCATGTTACAAAGCCACATTTTCAAAGGAAATTGAATTCATGCAAACATCTAGTTATTTGTTCAAAAATAATATCACTTAGTCTGGGCTGTCCAAATAGGGCCTTGGTTTTGATATGGGTAAGCTGATTATTGAATGTGGGGCAACCCAGTTTTTGTTTTATATGATTTATAATACTTAAACAAACCCAGAGTTTTTGTTCTATATTGTTCTATAATAATCCAACTGCTTGATGTATTACAAATATTTCACTTAGTAAGTAATAGACATTATTGGTCAATTTGAAGCAATTTGAAACACATCACATAACTACATACATGATTTCCAAAATGATTAATGTGTTCTTCATTAGCATTAAATGTCTTTTTAACAATGTTCTTCAAATTCCCTTGTAGAAATTTTCACTTTCAATCTTGGTCAAGATTGAATGTTGCTGGTCAAGATTAAGTGTTGATTGAATGTTACCAAATTTAAAATGTCTTTTTATCAGTATTCTACTTGCAATCTCAATTACAATCTAATTTTTTGAACTTTCAATTTTTCTTATAACTATCCAACTTCACCTATGGACAAAGAGTCAATGTTATCAACTTTCAAAATTTGATTTAGCAATGTTAAACTTGAAATATTGATCAAGATCAAATTATAACAACTTGAAGCAAGTTGACTTGCAAAAGAAATAAAATCTCACAATATCCAAACTGATCACCCAAAGACATCTGAAACTTGTTCTCTCTTTGTTGGTCTTTGGGTTAGTGTTCAACATGCATCTTCATCAGTGTGAATTTCTTTCACCCGTTTCCAATTTGAATCTTCACTAACATTAAATCTCTTTTAGCAATTTTCAACTTGATGATTAAGATCAAATTTTCACACTTGTTTGCCCTCTTCCTCATTCAGTAATTTTAGAAGGGGGAAAACAATAAACCTCATTTTATTTAAAAACTCCTCTTGGAATTCAAATATAGCAAGACATTATTGTTTAAATTCAAATTCTCCTCTCAAATCAGCATGTTTCTGTCAGGAATCAGGATTCTTAACTTCTCAAAAATATATCAATGGCTGGGTGTGGACACCTTGGACTAGAGTAAATACCTTCTATGAGTTGTAGCCACTGGTCCATACCAGTAAACTTCCATTGAGCTGATTCTAGCTTCTGCAGAGTAGCCCACAGCTGAAATAAGTGGATCTCCACATCATCAACCTGAATCTCCTTTTGAATCTCATTCAATCATTGCTTTTACTTCCATCACAAAAAACAACCAGGCACTTCCAAGAGAAGAAGACATTAACTGTACAGTTCAGAGATACTTTTGAGTTTTGACCTGAGTCTCTTGAAGCCACTGATCAACTCACCTTCATCAATTTGATTTGTCAGCCCAGTAATTCCATCAGGTATCAACACCAGGAAGAGAATCACGTCTCAGGAGGGGCCTCAGCGATGCCATTCAGAACAGCCGTTGAGGAGCGTAGCCTCGGCCTCACTGATGTTGTTCAGAGCAGTTGTTGAGGAGTGCCCCCTCGGCCTCAGCGATGCCGATCTGAACGGTCATCGAGGAGACTGCACTCTCAACGATGGCCGTTCAGAACGGCCATCAAGCACAAGAGGGCTTGGGGCAGGTACCCTGTATGCCGGAGCGGTACCCGGTTACAGGCGAATCTCTGCCCACAAGCAGCACCGGGCATCTGGGATTCTGATGTGCGAGTTCGGACGAGCTGATTATGTAATCCTCAGCCAGCGGGGCGAGGGACGGCGAGGGTCATCTCAGATGACCTTGTATAGCCTTCGTACTCGGTGTACGAGGGCTATTGAATAGCCAGTTGGCAGTCGACAGGGGTGTCACTGCCTCACTGGTACTTGAGACTAAAAGATAGCATTGCATCTGGAATCGATTTGCCCCTGCCTGAAGATTGGGTCGAAGATCGATGTACGCAAACTTTATCGGTCTATCTTCCAAGCTGGCAATGTTAACTGGGGCTCCAGAAGACCATGGCCTTCCTTACACGGAGTGGTGAGACCTGCCGCATTGCAAGAGTCCTCCTCGGCTCGGATGCAACAACTGTTTCACCACTCCACAAGTAGGAGGGAGGGCTTTCTGAAGTCCAGTGTACAAAAAACATGGAAAACCCCATAAAGTAACATATTTAAAACTCCACAAGAGTTGTAGAAACTTGAACATGGGACCAGATGCAGAAGAACCTGTATGCACACATTCTTCTAAAATTACACAAATTGGCCTGACAAAATGGCAGAAGATATATTAGTGCTTGGATTAAAAAACATAAAATAAATTTGACCTGGAGCACAAATTCAAATTTAAGGTATATGTCCCCTTGTTTGATTTTGTTGATTTTGAAGGTGCCCTTGGGATAACACCCTCCTGCAAGAAAGAGAGATAATTGAATAGGTTTAGAGAAGACATCTGTGCAAGCAAATGTAATCTACTTAATAGTAGAGAGCTACATTCAAATGTGACTGTGAGTTGACCTAGGTCACAAGTATATATGTGACTTCAGTTGAAGCTTACCTTGAATGATTTGAAACCTGTGAAGTTATATCAACTGTTATAGAAGCCTGCATAGATAATTGGCTGACCCAAAAATCCACCAAAGTGTGCAAGTGTATAGCAAGATATTCACATCCATATTCTGACCTTAGAGTGATCATCCTTAGAGAGCTGGTATATTCTCGTTGGAGAGGAACAATCCTTGTGAAGCTGATTCCCAATTTTAAGGAGTCATCCTCATCTCATCTCATCTTTACTTCTCCTTTCTCTACCTTACTTCTGCTTGTCTCAAGGTTTTTTCTTTTGAGCTTGTATTTTATCAACCTGACACTGCTTGACATAATATTTCCTTGCTTCCCTTCAGATAAGGAAATCAACTTAATTGGAATCCTAATTAGTAGTTACACCTAGCATTTGAAACCACAAACCTTATTGTTCTGTTTTCTGACCTGTTATTTTTGGCACTTTTTCCCTCAAATTGAGAATAGTCATTGCCATATTCTGTCAACATTATTTTTTCATATGGGCTGCAAACTAATGAGGCCATGGTTCATGAGAATTTCTTTTGGGGCTTGGTTAAACGACTCCCAAAAAATGGAGAGCCGACTCCCAAGCCCCGGAATCCCCAAAAAATGGGAGTCGAACCCCCAAAACCTTCAACAGGTTTGGGAGTCGACTCCCTAAAAAAATAATAATAAAAAATGAAATTCCCCGGTTGGTATAGGAGTCGATCCTCCAAAACCAACCAGGGTTTGGGGTCGATGAAACAAAAGACCCCCACAGAAGCGGCCAGGAGGATTCCTCCCGGCCGATCAGATTACACACCGATGGCCGAGAGGAATCCTCTTGGCCGTTGAGATTCTGCTCTCAGCGGCCGAGGTGATTTCCCTCGGCCGTCGGCCGTCAAGAGTATACACCTCGGCCGTGGAGAGTGTACACCTCGGCCATGGAGAGTGTACACCCTGGCCGTTGAGAGTATACACCTCAGCCATCAAGAGTGTACACTCTCGACGGCCGAGGGTACACTCCCGGACATCAAGAGTGTACGCTCTCAACAGCCAAGGTGGTTTCCCCTTGGCTGTTGAGAGTGTACACTCTTGACGGCCGAGGTGTATACTCTTGACGGCCAACGGCGGAGGGAAATCACCTCGGCCGCTGAGAGCAGAATCTCAACGGCCGAGAGGATTCCTCTTGGCCATTGGTGTGTAATCTGATCGGCCGGGAGGAATCCTCCCGGCCGCTTCTGTGGGGGTCTTTTGTTTCATCGGCCCCAAACCCTGGTTGGTTTTGGAGGATCGACTCCTATACCAACCGGGGAATTTCATTTTTTATTATTATTTTTTTTAGGGAGTTGACTCCCAAACCTGTCGAAGGTTTTGGGGGTTAGACTCCCATTTTTTGGGGATTCCGGGGCTTGGGAGTCGGCTCTCCATTTTTTGGGAGTCGTTTAACCAAGCCCCTTTCTTTTTTTGTGAAATAGCACAGCAGAGCCAGCCCTAGATTTCATACCTGTCAGTATACAAGGAGGCCAGAATCACCCTTCTGATAGGCTGTTGTATCCATATATTATGAGTAGGTTTCTCAAGAAAGATGCTCTTTGTTTCATTCCATTGCTTTTCTCTTTGTTCATTTGTATTTGATTATCCTCAAGGAATATTCATTGAAGTTCCCTCAAATCCTCAGTGTTTTGTAGTAGTAACCCAAGAGAGACAAAATGTATGTATATGTGTAGGATTTCAAAGGAAGGAGGGGTCTGAGAAGCCTCACACACACACCACACATCAAGTCCATGGATTCACAGTTCCTTGGCTCTCTTGCTCCTCTCTTCTCCATTTCCATTGGCATGATTCAAAGTTGAACTATTGTAAGTCTGTCCAAGATAACAAAGAAGAAAAAAGAAACTCATAAGGAACTCTAGTAGCAGCAAAGCTCAAAAAAGATAAAGAGGAACAAAAGCAAAAAGAAGACGACAGAAGTGGATTATGCATCTCAAAAGGTATATATATATTGGTGATAGAGTATGTAAATCTTGTACTTGTAGTGTTGATATAAATGGAAAGAAGAAGAAGAAAAAAAACACCAGCAATCAGTCTACTTCGAAGTAAATGAAAAGGGAATAGTTATAAGTAACAAACAATCAATAAAACGTATGCAATTTTTTGGGGGGAGAGAGAGAGAGAGAGAAAGATTGGGAGTGATTATTGGGAGATCTTGTAGTGGGGAGGAGGGGGTCGAAACCCGTCGAGACCGACTGGCCTCAAATTGGTAATCGAATATCCCATCCCAAGCCAAGAAAGAGGAGACCAAGTAGAAGGGCGGGTATAGGTTACAAGGTGCCAAAGCTATGTTGGCACAAAGAAGTAGGGGTCTGGATGGGGGGGGGGGACGATACAAGCAAAAGAGAGGAATTTTGATCAGACAAGAGGTTTATAAAGAGGGAAGATTAAGAGGAGGAAGGGGTAGTTGGGAAGAAGCGATCAAGGGAGCTATTGGCGAGGAGGCCGAGTTCTTCGAGAGACCAACGATGGTCGAGCCTGTTGATATGGGAGAAGAAGGTGTTGTGCGGGGGGAACAGGGCGAGTTTCTGGAGACGACGGAAGCCCTGTTGGGCGAACGGGAGCGGGAAGTACGGGTCCTCGGCCCCATGCAACCAGTGCAGGATCGTCTGGCGCCTGATCCCCGTCTCCGTTGTCGGCCGGCTGAAAATCGCTTCTAGTTGGTCCGGCATCGGCAGGAATCCCGACTGTGAAGCATATATATACAGACGCTCAATGTCTCAATCATCTCGTTCTGCAATCTATGAATCAATAGAACTGTGTAGGAGCTTCTTGCGTACCAGCATGATCACTCCCGCCGGTGGTCGGTCTAGGGTGAGCCCAAGAAGAAGAGACATTACCGCACCTGCAGACAAAGCGAAGGGTCTCAATGTCTGTATATTTTGTGCGGAGAAGGGATGGAGGAGGACGGACCTTGACTGAAGCCCGCAATGATAGTGCGACTCAAGTCGAGCTGAAGAAGGTTGATGATATGGACGAGTCGACGGACGTTATGTTTCATATGGAGGACATCCTCGTCCCGATGGATGTCCGACCAATTTCTGATATCGAACCAAGCGGGCCGAGGGAGTCCTGGAAAGACGGTGACGGGGAGGGCGTCGGCGGCGGGGATGACGAAGCTCATGGGCTCGAAGAGGGCGGGACGGAGAGTGAGGAGGGCCTCGCGGAGACGGAAGGAGTCCGAGGCCTGGTGGTCGCCCAAGCCATGGAGCAACAGACAGGTCCAATTGTTGGGGCGTTTGATGGCCGGAAGACGCGTGTACTCGAGCGGCTCGAGGGGGCCTGCAGGATATTCAACTTCCAGCCAGCCGCGAGCTGGCGAGCTCTCGTTGAGAAGCGTCGAGGGTGATCTGGGGTCCTGAATGACTCGAGTGCCCCCTCGCAGATCGTGGTTGAGTAAAAACAGCGACGGCTGGTACTCCAGGTAGAGATGGAATAGCATCAGTGAGGCCATCACGCCGGCGCCGATCAGGGTTGCCCGGAGCGAAGGCTTGGTGTGGATGCCGGGGGTCATCTTGCTGGCTCCGGTCGGCTGTGTATATGTACTGTTCCGGGCGCACGGCGTTTCGGGACTTGGACTGTACTGTGCTGTAGGCGACCGGGCTCGGCCGGTGGTGTTCGGGATGAGAAATGGCGGGGATGGAAAATGTTCTGATCAGCTCTTTTCTCCAAGCAGTTCTTCGAGCTCTGGTATGTTCAAGGATACAAAGTCTGGCGGCCAGGAGTCGGAGACAGCTTGCCCCATGGGTCTTGGTTGGGATGGAAGCACCAAAATAAACAAGCTTATAATTTCATTACATTCATGTAGGATTCTCCCTGGGAAACTTTGGGGAATGGTTTCCATCGTTGCCCTCGACCAAACAAACACCCTCAAAACAGCAGCTCGAGACTTGAGCTAACTATGCAACTCTCTCTATACATATATTCTGAACTGGGGGGGGAACCCCTGCGCTGATGATCGACTTGACATACAAAATCATCATCACTTGTTCCTTCGATCAGTCAGAACTGATCCCAACGTCCATCCTACTTGCAATGAGGTCATACCTTCGAAACCATGAACTCATCAAACATCTGACACCAATCAAGGATCCCTACAAATGAGAGAAGAACCAGTTCGGATCATGGAGGAGCAACACCAAGTCTGTCACTTTGGCTCAACATGAGGCCATGAGCATTGAGCACTGTTAGTGCTACTTTGGAGTATTTCCTGAACATGTATGGTGCATACTTGTTGACTGCAGGATGGACCTCTGGCTTGGATTCCAGCTACATAAAGTGCAAATCAACTTAATCCAAGAAACTCTATCTGGTACATGCAGCTTGACACAGCCTACATAAATACTGTGTGCACCAAAGGATAGCATCAATATTCACATCCAGACCTTCAAAAGTTTACTTTGGCAGGGGTCAGTTTGGCCCTGGGTATTTATGTGTAGGCCACAAACCCCATCGGTGGCACCTGATAGAGATGAGTACAGAGAAACAAAGAGGGCTAGAAGGTCTAGGATCCCCTGTGAAGAGTATGTAGCAATGATAATTAGGCCATCAATATTTACAGGTTTTTGTTTTTGAAAGTGACAAGAATTGTATGGTATGTAGAATCACTAGCTGCTAAAAGGCAACAAACTTTCCTCCAGGATTGGCAGTTTGGGCAAAATTGACTAATTCCCTCCAGCAGCACTTCAAAGGGGTTGTATCAGTTACAACCCCCCGCGATAAGGTCGCCTGGAGGTGACCGATATAAGATCGGTCTGATTGACCGATTTTATATTGGTCGGGCCCACCGATACATTAGAACAAAGGAAAAATGTATCGGCGGGCCTGGCCGATATAAAATCGGTCAAGGAGACCGATGTTATATCGGTCGCCTCGGGGCGGCCTTATTGCGGGGGGTTGTAACCGATACAACCCCTTTCGCCGTGCAGTTTCATCCAATGGCTTGCCAGAGGGACTTATAACAGGCCATGTTGCCCTTGCGGCCCAAGAGGATTAAGGCTTTGGCTGGTGGCTTTTTTTAAAACTTGTCCCACCCATGCACCATTTTCCTTCTTGTCTTCACAATTATCACAGCCATTCTGTACCCCTGATGACCATGACTTCATTCTGTCATGGAGTCCCCATGGGCATGTTGATAGCCAACAGCATTCAACCCTTCTTGATCTCAGGAATATTTCCTATGGTAATTTATTTATTTTTTTGATTGCAGATTTGATTTGTCATTGCACACGGAAGACTTCCCGTTGATCTGGAAGGCCCTCCCAGATACGGCTTATAAAGGCGATGAGTTCTGTATCTTGTTTGTCGATGTAGCTCAAATAATGAAGGAGCTACACTCTCTCAAAGATCAGAAAAGATCACTTTCGACGGGTTAGTAGGAGTGGTGATGTACTAGGCGGGAGTGGTAGTACGGAAGATCTGTATGTATGTAGATCCTTGCAGATCCTGGCAAATCCGGGGTTTATTGAGTTTTAACTGTGTAATACGGCCTGCAGAACCTTATGTACACGTGAGATAACTCTATTTTTAGACTTCGACCAGGTGTATTAGACTTCGACCAGGTACTAATCCCTCAAGATGATGGGTAAATGATGCTAGATCCGTTCACGCCGTAGGAATAACAGACTTTCAAGGCTTAGGAAAAAAACCTAGTAGTGTAAACAGGGTACGGCGGATCGAATGGTCGACTCAGATTGTTTGTATCTGTTATGGTTCTCTCTCTGTGATAGTGTAAAATGACTCTAACTGAAAAAATAAGACTTTTGAAGTGACACGGACGTATTTTTTAAGGGTTTTTAATTGTTTCTGTGTGGATGAATCAAATGGAAATATAATGAAATATTTTTGTGATTTTTTTTGGCACGAGAGGAGTGGAACAGATAGCGCAAGAATTTTATTTTTTGTGTTTTTTTGTGTTTTTATTGCTTATACTAAGAAAATGAGATGAGATGAGATAAAAACAAGTCTAATTTATTCTAAATCCGTGAGGTCTATGATTGTAGAGTTGGGATGAGGCGGAGAACAAGCAGTAAAAGGTGGAAGAGAGAAGTAGCGGACTGTTCTAGACAAGATGTTAGTAGGAAGAGTTCTATATTTTGGGGTTTCTTCTAGCGCTGTAAAGAAGTTATTTCTATTGGTTTCTACGTTTTTTCTACTATGGACACATCCTCTTCTACAAGATTTATGAGTATGTAGTCAGGGGAATAGGTAGAATGAAGGGTACAATGGTAGCGCTTAGTTTCTATGTAGTTCCAAAATCTATCTTCTGCTTCTGTTACTTTTACTTTTTCTACTCTTTCAATAACTGTAATGTTATCCGGGTGGTTGTGGTAATATCTACTAGCTTCTTCTGCAATTGTACTATCTATTTGTCTAATAAATGGCAAAACTTCCGGCATCTGTTCTTCAGAAAGCCATTGTTAGTAGTAAATGTTTTGGGGACAAAAGGTTTAAAAGAAGCAAGGAGATATGTTAGTCACGGAATTCCAATTAGGCCAGACCCCCAATTGTCAGCCTCTGGGTAACTAACCTGAGTATTTAATAGTAAAAAGGTTGTTACTATGAGTTGACTGAAGTTTTTTGAGCGTGGTGAGTGTTAGGTAGTGGGTGTTTAATACCATTCCTGTAAAGAGGAGGTTTCACTCTATCAGTATGGTCTTTACTGAGAGGCTTGCTATCAACAGCGCATCCGGATGAATACAAGGTATTAATAGGCATACAGGGTACTAAGACTCACCTGGGATTGATTTGTTTATTCCCAAAAGGGAATGGGTAACAATACTTATTAAGCTTTAACAAAATTAGTTGAAGATTAACAGGTATTGTTAATGGGAATATTCCGCAAGGCTATGAATATTGTGGATAAGTTGAGTAAGAGTACTGAAGCTTAAGAACAATAAATGTAGACTAGATTTATGTTGGTTACGTGTACTGTATCAATATAAATTTTAACTGTTTTAACTGGTGTCTGAATATTCTGGGGATTAATCAGTGAAAGAGGCACGGATTATAAGTTCCAGAATACTGAAGGAGGGAAAGAATGAGCGCTCAGAATCAAGGGAGCTTTGGCCAGGAGAATGAGCACATCAATTGAGTGACTGATCATTATTTGTCATGATCTGTAAGTGACATCATAATTGTGTACTAGTTGCTCTTGATGCGTGTACTTAACAGATCCTCTAATAATGTAGTCATAATTGTGATCAGTGCATGTATTGAATGTATTAATTCTATTGACACTTAATACTTACTGTTTAATACATGTACATATTTATTTGTAATAATATTTGACCGTGAAAATACTGTAGAAAAGGGATAACTTGTGGTACAGGTATTTCACGGAAAAAGGAGTGAAAGGTAAGTGATAATTACTTATGTAGAACACAGATATGTATTTAATAGATAAGTAATTAAAAGATAAGATAAATGTAAGATAAATAAGATAAGTTAATAATAATGATAAGATAACAAGAGGTAAAGGTAATCAACATTATGGATAAGTACTTATGCACATAAGTACAGGTGTTGCAGTTACTTGGTACATGAAAGGTACTGTGACATGTACTCTGTGGCTGACATAGGAGATGAAGAGAATGAGAGTGCAGATGAAAGGTGTGTTGTGTTTTTTACCTTCCAGACAAGCACTCCTGAGGTCTTTGTCCATCAAGATAAGCTCTCCTCATTCTGATTTGATTCCTGATCAATCCTCTTGCTTATGTTTTGCTAGGAATGGGATTGGAGCTGAAGTTGGTCAAGATGAAGAACAGGACCCTGCCCAATCATATGAGACATTCTTTTCAGGTTGGACAGAGACTCAACCGCATGCTGATCAGTCTGGGGTTCCAAAAAACTTGGCTTCCAGTCAACAATTTGGTGCGGAGAACACAAATCAGAGGGGCGAGTCATCTTTCAAGTCTTCTGGAGCTGTTGATGAAGATCCAAACAACCGTAACTCTACTATTCAACCCTCTACTCGAAACCCAATGGTCCATTGGGTGGCTTCACAAAGGGATTCTCGATTTAATTCACCTATCTCAACTGCCAACTTTCCAACAAGAAACACTCGCCCAGGTCAGCTTCAAGAAAGGATGTGTTTGTATTTTGATCCTGAAGCTTGAGACAAGCGCGAACACAATCAAAATATGTCAACCCTCTATGCAATTCAATTGCAAGATTCCCAGACAACCATGCATTGGCTAGAAGATGAGGTGTCCAAGCTACGCAAAGGTGTGAATATTCAGCTCATCCAATTACAAGAAGAGAATTCCCAACTCCAACAACAGCTGTCAGATGCCCAGAAAAAACTCCAACAAGCACATAGAGAGCTTAACGACTGTGCAAATGAAAATTCAACCCTGCGCAACAGAGTCAAGAACTTACAGCTCCAAATCAACCTTTTGCCTCAACAGATGATGCATCATGCACAGCAACTACTGGGAATGTTTCAACCGGCCTGGGGCAGGGGCACAATGCCCCATCAATCAAATGAGGGACACACAATGTGTCAGCCTCTGGGTAACTAACCTGAGTGTTTAATAGTAAAAAGGTTGTTACTATGAGTTGACTGAAGTTTTTGAGCGTGGTGAGTGTTAGGTAGTGGGTGATTAATACCTGTCCTGTAAAGAGGAGGTTTCACTCTATCAGTATGGTCTTTACTGAGAGGCTTGCTATCAACAGCGCATCTGGATCAATACAAGGTATTAATAGGCATGGTTGAGTTTTTTAGCTCTTGACCGGTTGAAGTTGAGAATTTTGAGAAGGTGGCACAAAGAAGGCAGGGGCCCTTTTTTGGGAAAGGTTCAAGGTGAAGGAGTGAAAAGAACCGATAATTTTTATTCACTGTAGGTAGGCTTGCTTAAGTAGACTAGGTACAAGTGATCAAAATGTGGTTTGAGAAAAAAGGAATAAGAAAAAGTATTTTGAATAAAAATCGAGAGAAGATAAAACAAGTTCTTGGAAGTAACAAACTATACAAAACTTCTCATTCTCTTTTAGTAATGTCAGATGAGTTAATCAAGAAAAAATGTTTCAAATCACAGATAACAAGAGGTGTTAATTCTTATTAATCAATTTTTTAATAACACACAACAAGTCAGGAAAAAGAGAAGATAATACCTTAGAGACAAGAATATTGAGTTGAGCTCATGTGGTTCAAATTTGACTCTGTAGGAACTCAGAAAACAACAAAGACCTGCTACTTGGTAAAATTAATCTAGTCTGGTTGAGGGTGCTAAGAAAGGGTAACAGGGCAGAGAGAGAAAGATGAGGAAAATTTCAACAGGCATCCAGGGTACTAAGACTCACCTGGGATTGATTTAGTTATTCCCCAAAAGGGAATGGGCTAACAATACTTATTAAGCTTTAACAAAATTAGTTGAAGATTAATAGGTATTGTTGATGGGAATATTCAGCAAGGCTATGAATACTGTGGATAAGTTGAGTAAGAGTACTGAAGCTCAAGAACAATAAATGTAGACAAGATTTATGTTGGTTACGTGTACTGTATCAATATAAATGTTAACTGGTTTAACTGGTGTCTGAATATTCTGGGGATTAATCAGTGAAAGAGGCACAGATTATAAGTTCCAGAATATTGAAAGAGGGAAAGAATGAGCGCTCAGAATCAAGGGAGCTTTGGCCAGGAGAATGAGCACATCAATTGAGTGACTGATCATTATTTGTCATGATCTGTAAGTGACATCATAATTGAGTACTATTTTATCAATGTACTAGTTGCTCTTGAAGCGTGTACTTGACAGATCCTCTAATAATGTAGTCATGATTGTGATCAGTGCATGTATTGAATGTATTAATTCTATTGACACTTAATACTTACTATTTAATACATGTACATATTTATTTGTAATGTTATTTGACCGTGAAAATACTGTAAAAGAGGGATAACTTGTGGTCCAGGTATTTCACGAGCAGAGGAGTGAAATGTTAGTGATAATTACTTATGTAGAACACAGATATGTATTTAATAGATAAGTAATTAACAGATAAGATAAATATAAATAAGATAAGTTAATGATAATGATAAGATAACAAGAGGTAAAGGTAATCAACATTATGGATCAGTACTTATGTACATAAGTACAGGTGTTGCAGTTACTTGGTACATGAAAGGTACTGTGACATGTACTCTGTGGCTGACACAATGGGAATGCCGTCAATGGCAGGTATGACTCAAAACTACCATCCACATACCTTACCAAATCCAATGACCGGATCCTCTATGTCTGCAGATAGCCTAAATATTCCTCCAAAGACTCAATAACTTTGTTTTCTGTATGTTTGTCTCTTTTTTAATATCACACACACTCCCAAAAATTTCTTGCTCCTAAACCATCACAGAAAAACAAGAGTTATCACAGACAAAAACATTCCTGGCTAGTTTCTCGAGTTTGTTTTGTTGCTCCATGATTGCACAATAAAATTGATTGCTCCTAAAAAATCATCACAGAAAAAAAAATCAAATGTTCTTGACTAGTTTGTTGATTTTGTTGCTCCATGATTCAAAATCTTAAAAATCAATTGTAATCTAAATCATGATTCAAAAATTAGGGGAGAAGAATGCAAGTCAAAATGAAGACTTCTAATTAAAATTCTCAGAGAGGAGAGGTCAGAGAGTAGAGGAAAACAGATAAAATTCATTTGAGACAGCCAATTAAGTGAAAAAAATCAAAATATGAAAGTTATAACCATCCATTGTAATATTGGCTAATGTGACATTGTTTTTCTATGTCTGAGAATAACATACAATGAAACTGATAACAAAACATTGCACATTCATCCCAGAAGCCTTTGTAAACAGTTTGTGTCTGATTGGTGCCAACTAACCGGGTCCAAATCTGATGCAACCAGACAACACATTGTAATAAATCAAATCTGAATTGATGATTACTTGCAGGTAAAGGCAGTTTGAGCCACGCAAATGACCCCTGAAGGGAATTCATTCCCCATTCAGCTGCCTGTCAAGCTGAAACAACCTGTTCATTGAGTAGCTTGAGTCAAGAGAAGGATCTGGGGGTGGATGGAAGCCAATCTCCTTTTTTTGCTGGTGCAAGTATTCAATTTTCAATCATCTCTGATGTTTGAGGGAAGGCAGTATCACTTAAGATCCGATAGCCTGGAAGTTTGTTGTCAAGCAGGACATGATACAATGGTTCTGCAATTGCCGTGTTGTGCCACAAGCCTGGGCCGTTGAGAATAGCATACATGATGGTGCCGTTGGGAGAAAAAGCAACAATACAACTACAATAGTGGGCACAGGTCCACCCATTGTAATACAAATTATCGATGCTACAATTTAACATATCAGTCTTCATGTCATTCATTGATAAATATAAGAATAAAGTAAATAAATCTTACTCATCATCATCAGACACCAAGATGGGCAAGTTTAATCCATCCACAAATCCAAAAAAACCTGTGAGCAGAGGAAATTTCCTCTGAATTGCTTCACTGTATGGCCACATGCTTTGTTCATTTGAGGGCCAGCAAATTTTAGATTTTGAATGATTCTTCAGGACAGCCAGAAGATGGGTCATTCCACAATCCAGATATTGAGAACACACTGCTGGTGTTACAGCAAAAATTTGCTGCAATGAGTAGGCTGACATGGTTGAGGACAATCAGTGCAAAACCAACCCAAGGCACCGTGCAGCATTGAGGGATTGTCTCCCCAGTTGTGGCTTGCCTTGCGGGTTCACATTGGCTCTAGGAATTCTCTCAGAGGTGAACCGGTCCGCGAAGGGCTTGAGTAAGTTGTTGAATGTTGCAACATCCACACACATTGTTGTAATAAACGCTCTATTTTTCTGGCCGCTGAACATATAGGCCCATGCACTGTCCGCCATTGGATTGCCAGGAAGATCGCCTCGAGTCAGGTAAGTCCTCAGCTGTTGTATCAGACCGCCCGCAAACGCCATCAAGACCAAGGGCATAGTTTCCTTGTCTTCCTCTCTGTTTCAATGCACCACAACTTGCTCAAACCAAAGCCGGATTGAGTGCTGTTGAACCAAAATCAATTGATCATGGCTTCCAGAGCGCGAGTGATGGTGAATGACCCAGTTGTTGGAGTTGTTCATGATTAACCTCTCTTGAAGTCCGGCTGAGATTGAGATGATTGAAGTCAAGCGACACCTTTGACAGGCTGAGGAACAGGGGCCCCTAGGTCTGGGAATTGAGGACAACAGAAGAGCAAATCTGGGAATTTCTGGAATTCTGGAAATATCTGGAATCTAGGATTCCAGATCTGGATCTGGGAGGGCTTCCAGATTGATGGGAAGTCTTCCACTATTCCTATGGGTTCATTCCATGTATCATGCACTTACAATCAGGTTTTAGACCCAATACCCTATGAGTGCCAACATGTTATGGGTCTACAGCTTATCAGGCCAGTTTAACAATGTGCAAAACATACTGTATTTCATGACATTACTCCTGCACATGCATGATGTGTGGGATCAAATACAGGAGCATCCTCAAAATCCCATTTATCACATTTGAGGTATCAAATCAAAAAAGCTAATGGATGAAAGTGGAAAGTGAACTCACAAGACTGGAATGAGATATTGAGATGGGTGACTTTGAACTTGCAACCTGATAGATGGATACAGGAGAAAGTGTCAAGTAATCAGACCAATTTTTCCCATCCTCTCACGCAAGAGGGGCAAATTAGAGCATAAACCCCTCCTGCAGCAACAATGTAACTGATTACACAATGCACGCATAGGCATTGCATTGCATTGCATTGCATTGCATTGTGACTTTATTGCATCTCATCAAGAGAGTGATGCAGGGCCCCACATCACATTGCTTGCACCAGATTCTTTGATCCAGAGCATCGGTATTGCATTGGCAAAGCGATGCAATGTGATGCACTATCATTTGGTGGCATTGGTTTGCATTGCTTTCCAATACATCACTTTTTTGATGTGATGCCAATGCAATCAGCAATGGGCAGATATGTTAACCAAACGGATAACATTGACTGTAACGTAACCTTTACAGTTACGTTAACCACAAGTTACAGATATCTTTATTTCAGTTACGATATCTACTGGAGCAAAAGGCCCCCTTTTTTTCTAGTTACGTTCCCAGAAATTCTGAACAAAACAGGGTTACGTTACAGAATTTCCAATATTTGGATAACTTAAGGGTAACTTTGCTGGTGATACACTGATTATTGATGGTTTTGTTCATTAAGTGCGAGATAATTTGCCCAATATGATCATAAACCAACCAGAGATTATTATTTCACCAGTAACAGCGGTGGGCCGCTACGCTACACTACGCTACGGGCCCATGTAGCGTTAGCGTAGCGGCACCAATTTTTTTTTTTTTTGTGTAGTGTTAGCGCGCCGCTACGGCCGCTGCGCTACGCTAACTTGTAGCCGCGCTAACACTAGCCATTTTTGGTGTAGTGTTAGCGCCTTGCTGGCGCCGCTACGCTGCGTTACGCTACGCTACAGCGTTTTTAGCGGCAAAAAACGCCAAAAAACCGCTAAAAACTGCTGTAGCGCAGCGTAGCGGGCGGTTTTTTGCGCCCTGTGCGCGTAGCGTTAGCGCAGATGGGGAGAATTGCGCTAACGCTACGCTAAACGTTAGCGCATTGTTTTGCCCCGTGCGCGTAGCGTTAGCGCTAAAAATGAAAAAAGCGCTAACGCTACGCTACATTGTAGCAATTTTTTGCTACACTACGCTACGCTAACGCTACAGTTAGCGTAGCTGGCCCACCGTTGCCAGTAAGCCAGGTCAAAAGATGTCTGGTGTGAGGATTGAACCCACAACCTCCACATATTCACTGTACATGTGAGGCACTCTTTGACTGTTAAGCCATATGCAATATGTCACCACGGTCATTTGCGTGTCGCCGCGGATGTAACCGTCACCTTGACGAATCCGCGTGCGTGACTGCGGCAGTAGGCGCAGTGACTGCGCACGAAACCCCCAATGAAACCCCCAGATGTCGCTCCGCGCGGGAGCGACATGCAATTGTCCGTGGTGTGTATTAGCCCTTCAACCTCTCATAACACCCCTCCCCCCAAGTAAGTTACGTTACCCCAAAAAAATATATGGAAAAAATAAAATTGGTTACGTTACTTTACTTTACAAGCAAATTTAGTTACTTTACAAAAACAGCAGATTTGGATAACTAAAAAAAATTTACGTTCTCCAAATCCCCTGCTGTAACGTACCGTAACGTATCTGCCCACCGCTGATGCAATGCATCACTTTTTTGTTTTGATGCCAATGCAATGCATCACTTTTTCAATGCAATGCCAATACATGGCTATTTATTGCATCACATAGCATTGTTTCATTGTTGCCTGCAGAGTGTCCCTGCAGGACAGTGCCCCCCCCCCTCCCATAGAGAGACTTAGTTAAGTTAGTAGTTTGGGAAGGTTTAAAATTTGCAATTTCCATGCTGTGGCGGCGAGAGCGCGCCTTGGCCAAAGATTTGGCCGGTTTGTTTGGGGGGGGGCATGCGGAATGCTTGCGGCTGATGCGGAAAGCACGCGGGGCTGACGCTATGCACGCAGGCTGAGGAAAGCGGCGGTGCATTAGTGGAGAGTCTAGCTTTCCGAGGCGCGGGAAAGCGGGGAAAAGTAGACCGAATGCGCAAGGTTCTGAAAAGCTTGCTGCGGGGGAATCCGGGCACCGGCGGACACCGGGGATCACGGCCGACTGCGGAACGGGGGTTCAGCGTATACTGCGGAGGGGCTAAAAGGAGCGGGGAGCACCGAGGGGCGGAAGCGGGGTTCGGAGCGGACCAGAGGCGGAAGCGGCGGTGGGAGACCTGTTTATGAGCGGCCGGAGGAGTACCTGGACCGACAGGCGTTGGAGGGGTGACATGCGGAGTCTGAGGGGGTGACAGCGGATGACATCGCGGGAAGCAAGAAGGGACTGGAGTGTGGGATACTTGGGAGGAGTGGAGTTCGGAGCAGAAGAGGGGAGAGAGGGGGGGGACGGAGGACTCAGAACATGTCAGAAAAACAGAGTGACTTAGGAGTGAATCGTGTATTAGCCTAAAGAATTGTTAGAGATAGAATAGAGTTAGAGTGTTACCTACCAAAGATCAATACAGGAGAGCTATTTTTACTACTTACAAGACCATCAAGCAAGTTACCCCGGACAACAAATCGGAGTAGGACGCGTTGCGGAGCGGAGAAGTACAAGAAATCTCCTAGGGCGCGCCTTTCTTTCCACAATGCCTATGTACATATATCTTTCCAATCTGCATCCATTGTAGACATTTACTTGATGTAGACCCAACAAGTCTAGATCTTTTGCAGAGAAATCCAGTGTTTTTTGAGGCTGTAAATTGATTCTGCAAGGTCTACAGATGTTGATTGGAAGTCCTCCAATTCCACATCAGTCTGGATGTTTGCAAGATGTTGTTACATGAAGATGAATTTTTCATTCAAAAGAAGAAGAAAAAAAAATGACTTGTCCAAGGTTGACAAGTTTAGGACACTAGGAGTTAGTCAAGAAGAAGTCATTCCTGATTCTTGATCATATCCCTTTCTTAATTGCTCTTGTTGGTCCAAGCACCCCCTGTCAGATATCAACCCCTCAAAGAGAAATTAAAGAGATTCTTCCGAGCATTACCCCCCTCAGCCTGGGGAAAACAGATTGAGTAGACCCACCAGGATTTGTGGGCCAGGAAACATTTGGCAATCTCTTATTGATTTTTTTGTGATATACACCAATCCCCTCATACCCTCCTTGGCTATCTTACTCATCACCCCACCCTCCCTCCTGAAGAAAAAAATAGAGTTAAGAAGGAACATCTTGGTGTCCTTCAAGCATAAAAAACATGGGCTAATAAAAGCAAGTCCAGTCAACTCTTGAAGAGGGAGAAAAAAAGAAGATGATGAGTAGGTAGGATATGAATTAGTGTAAAGAGAAGGGAAGAAGGATTGACAGAATGAAAATTGAGATGGATTATGTAAAGCTGATAATTAATATGAGTTAATATTTAACAGGTTTCTTGAAGAGTGTTGAGAAAAACTCTGTCACTTGAATCAACAATCCATTCACATACTTTCCTCCCTTCCTGAACAAAAAAAAACAACAATCCATTCTATTGTCTCTTGACCCTTGCCATCACCAAAGAAAGAAAGAAAGACATCATAAAGAATAACATTGAAACTTTTACAATTAGTGAATCTGCATTTAAAAAAATGGAAATTAAAACAGGGTTTTTTGGTGTTGTGTTTTTTTGGTCAAGTGGTAGAACTTGATGAACTATCAATGAATTTTGTTTTGATTTTTGATTTTTTGGAGCTAGCGGGAAGGAGCATCGGATCTTCTGAGCTTTCTCTAGCGCGTCTTTCTTTTTCGTCATCTTCCTCTTCATCTTGATCATCAGCATGATTATGGTCCTGTTCCTGCGGATCTTGTTGATGTTTCTGATGATGATTGCGGAGATGATTGGGGATAGGAGGAGGTTGAGAGGGAGAGTGAGGCTTGAATTTTTTAGCTTTATGAGCGGTGTTTGGAGGGGAAGGGAAGAGCAAGGCGGGGCGGATTGAGGAAGAGATAGTTCTAGGCGAGGAGAAGATGGGGGAGGAAGGGCGGGGGCGTTTGCGAAGGACGGAGCAGGTCTGGGGCGAAGTGTGTAGGGCACCACCGGTCTCGCTCGTCGGCTGGAAGCTCTTCTGGCGCAGAGTCGAGGGCGTCACGGGGACCGAGAGCAACGCCCTCGGCCGGTTGTCTTGCACCGGCCGAGATGATCCCGTGACACACGGATGCAGAAGCCGCTGTAGGTACGGCGAGATCATCGGCTCAGTCGTGGTCAGTACTGAGGACAGTGAGGTCGAGGTGATTAATGACTAGCATTCCCCAGAGCAACATTACAAACACGTTAATCTTCAATTTTATTCTCTCAAACCAGACAACAGTTAAGAAAAGTAAGATCTGTTTTCAATCAAAGGGAGAAAGCTGACCGAGCTGGGAGATGAAAACCCGCACGATTCATCATCCGGTCGATACAAATTACGGGAGATTGATGCCTTATGGAGCTTATGTCTTGTGATATCGGAGGATCGTTCCTGGACGCGTTTTTTAAGCCTTTCGAAAAGAGCATTGGTGACAGTATCTTGTGAATCTAGATATGATATCCTAGGCGTGGATTGGTCTGTGAGCGAGTCTGGAGCTGATTGGCTCGTGCTCGAGTCGCTCGTCGGTGGTGGCAAGATGTCTAATTTTTTCCGCTTTCCGTTTGACTCTTCTTTCCGTCGGATCTTTTGAGAGGACGATGATGATGATGAGGATGAGGATGATGAAGGGATTGAGTTGATAGGTGAGGAGTCCGAATCGTCGCTGTTGTAATCTTCATCATCGGTGCTACCGCTCTGATCTTCGTCGAGATGGCCATCATCATCCTCATCATGCTGGCCAGCCCATTCGTCCTGATCTTCGTCTTGATCATCTGCGTCCTGGGAGGTGGGATCGAGGAGTTCAAAGATTTCGAGGCGGGGATCCGCCCTGTTTTTGCCCTTGAGGGAACTAGGCGAGGGTTGGGAATTGTGGGAGAGACGCTTGAGGATGTATCCGCGGTCCTCGATGACCTGTAGTTGATCCAGATCGATCACGTCGTCCGATTCCTCGTCCCCGTCGCCCTCGTACCGAGCCGCAATGCTCTCCAGGGCGCGTACGAATTTTCGCATCGACCGGTTCCTGAGTGCGCAGATGTTCTCCAGGTCGAGACTCGGCTCATCTGGGGCACTGGCCGGGTCGGAGGTCGACAGAAATCGTTCGAGGGGTGATAGGTTGATTGATCCTGGACTCATCGTGAGGTATATGGTATGGTTATCGGTCGGGATCAGTACCCCTTGTTGCTCGGAGTGGCCAGTTGGCTCGAAAGTTGCCAGCACGCGTCTCCCTCGCGACTTCCCGGGCTCGGATACCCGGAATCAGCTGAGACCGGGGAGTCATTCCCCCGGACCTGACTCCCACGCCCCTACATAGTCAGAATTCAACCACCGAACACCCACCGTAGAGTTGATGGCACAATGCCCGACATCGGGCACCAATGTGCGCACCCTGCCTCACCAAACTTTCAGGGTGTTGTAACCCAGGAAAGGGGTTACAGGGGTTCTCACCTTAGCCCCTCTTTGTGCATGTATATAAGCCTGTCTAGTCTATCTACATGCAATGAATCCACAACCTTGTGTCTTCTCTCTCTGTTTCACATCAGGTTATGAGCGCCTTTAAAGCATCTCGAAAACATCAACAAGGTATCCTAGTGTAGGGAGTAATCGCCCTTGATATATCTCATTTTCTAACGGGTAGCCCAGCGTAGGGCGTAATCGGCCCAAAATCTTAAACATATTCCTTTTTTCGTCAGCATCCCATAAAGTCTATTCCTTGTTCTCACTTTGCTCAACTTCCCCGACCTAACCAAATATCTTGAAAATCCACCAGCTATAATTGATAGTTACCCTCAACCTTATACTGCTGATTAAGCTACTTTGTGAGTCGCACTCCAAAGTATATCCATACCTGGGACGCTGGGTTTTTGGGGCTGAACAGGCGTAAAGGAGGATCGTACCTCATCTACCAAATTCATTATTTTTTTTCTCTCCCTCCATCTTTTCCAATTCTGTTCTCTCAATCTCCCAAACAATCACCTACCTTCCAAATCTCCCAACCCTATCATTCCCATCGCCGCAACTCTCTGTTTTCTTTCTCTCACATCCCGCTCCACCGTACCCATTTCCCTTATTCTTCATCATACCTTCCCTATTTCCCACATCATTCTCCCCACCCTTACCCACTTACTTTCTTTCTTCTTCGTTATACCTTCTTCTTTCTTTCATCTTCCTTTTTCCCTTCCCTTTCCACGCTATTCCTTCACTTTTTCCCTTCCTTCACCCTTCCTGCCTCCTCCCACCACACCATTGACATGAACAACGACCGCCAACCACCTGTCGGACAAAATGCCCCACCTGAAGCCCCGGATGCGCACGACGTAGCAGACCCCCCACAAGCCCCCGCTGCAGCAGAAGGCCAACAGCGACATCACAATCGCGATCCTGCAGAACGGGAACGGGCACGTCAACGTCGCAATCGGGAAGCTCCTCCTCACCAAGCACCACCGGAACCACGCCCAGAAGACCCAGAACGCAATCGTCAAATCGCCGCCGTCATCGGAGCTGTCTCCAATCAAATCCATGACGAAGACCGACTCAAACCCGACGGATCGAACTTCGCAATCTGGCAAGACTTTCTAGACGAGCGAATCCGGGACGCCATCAACGTTCCACTTTTCTTCCATTTTCCCAACAACAATGTCACACATGAAAGAATTGGCCGCTCCATCCTCCTCACATCGGTTGATCGCTCCTTACGTCAAGGCCTTGCTCGTCATGCCACAGTCCACCGAATGTGGCAAGATATCCGGATCAGATTCCACTCTGTCAGCCGTGCGGCCCAATTGGACCTTTTCCGCCGACTGATAACGTTCAGCATCAGCGATCACCCAACCACTGCCGGCATGTCTACCCACATCGGAGACATCCTCGATGAGATGGAGACGATCCGGATGCCATTCACCCGGGATCATCTGGCCGGCTTGGTCTTGCAAAACGGTCTAGCATCGGAGCCAGAACTTCAACAAGAATTTGACCGAAGAATTGAACACGACCTCCAGTCAGCGACAGTTGAAGATCCCCCCATGAACTTCGATGAAATGGTCCGCTTAATCGACATCATCAGAAGGCAACTCCGTCTCCAAAACGTCAACCGCGGTTCGACCAACACGCAAACGCCACTCGTCATGCAAGCGGAGGTCAACACAAACCAATCTGCCCCTACAGTCCCTCAATTGCCAGGTCCGGCCCTACACCCAGACAACACACCTGACGCGCACGATTTCATGGCAATGCAAGCCGGTCTGTGCTGGCAATGTCGATTGCCGGACCACATGCTCCGCAACTGTCCCATGCGAGCACGAATATCCGGCCCCGGTCGACCAGCAAGAAACTCGGCAAACCAGGCCAGGATCCCACAGGGCCCCACCAGCTATGCCCCGAATGGTTTTCAGTCCTTTTATCCGATCGTCACACCGCCGGGTTTCAACGGAGTCTATCCCCAGCCTCAACCTTCTCATTGCCAACAAACCTCGCCGCCGTCAAACCCAACGCACAACAACCAAGCGCGACCAGCGGACTACTACCGACCACCGCAGTACCGCCTACAGCGGGTGACACCACCATCGGAGTCGATCGGCTCTCAACGGCAGAAACCCGCAGCACATGAAGCGTCGGCCGACAATGACTCCACCAACGAGTCCACGGCGCGAATGGTTGAGCTTGGTGATGTCGCGGATGACCTGGCCAACATCAACTTTGGCCATGTTCAGGCGGATTTGTCGGATGATGTACCCATCGTAGATTCAGGTGCGTCCCACCACCTGTGTGGCAATTTTGATCTGTTTTCTAATTTTCGTACATTTCCCAAACCCATCCCTCTGAAAGTAGCCACGTCAGGCAACCCCGCTTTCATCACCGGCGAAGGTGACCTTACCTTTTCCGGACTAGACAATCAAAGTGTCACGATCCATGGTGTTCTTTATTGTGAGCTCGCCAGATCTACACTGATCTCCCTCGCCGCTCTGGAAAGGCTAACACTTATTTTGCGTATGATATCGCACAGGATTGCTACTTAATATACTCCAGCAACAACAAACTATGTTTCAAGTGTCCTTTTGTGCCATCACAAAACAAATGGGTGTTCCCAAAACCTATTCGCCGTCATGTTGTTTCTCCAATACCTATGTCTCCTTGTCAATCTCCTGCCTCTATGCAATCCAAAATTCATGTCCTAAAGAAGAGTTCCCCTACGTTCTGTCCTATATCGACTGAGATAAGAGGAGACATGCGCCGCAATATCTTCGTAACACCTCTTAACATTGAGAAATCACAGAATAAAGTGTCTACTAACAGCCTTTCAAAGAACGAACAGATACTACTTTATTGGCACAGATTTTTTGGGCATGCGAGCTTGACCAAAATTCGGCAAGTCTTCCAGGAAAAACTGTGTGACAGCCTTCCAATTTCACTACCGAAGGGGGAGCTGAAATGCGACATTTGCGCCAAAAGTAAGAGTATCAACAAAAACCGGCTATCGCCTTCTGCCAGGCCTGTTTCAAAACTAGAAATCGTTACTGCTGATATCATTGGTCCTTTTGAGGTTGAAACTTTCAACAAGGGCAAATACTTACTAACGATTAGGGACCTAGCAACAGGTTTCAGCGAGGCCAAAGTGATGGCGGAAAAGTCTCAGGCTTGCGGTTATCTTATCGAAACTGTCTTGAGATGGGAAAAGCAACTGTCCGGGAATGTCAAGTGTGTCAGAACCGACAATGGTGGTGAGTTCTGCAGTGACGTTCTTTCCAATTTCCTACTCAAAAAGGGAATCAAAGCCGAGCGAGCACTACCATATCCCCATTATCAAAACGGCATCATCGAACGCTTCAACCGCACACTGGCAGACATGGGCCGCACGATCCTTATTGACAGTCGGATGGGGAAACCATTCTGGGGATTCACCTTCATATGGGCTTGCGACGTCCTCAACGCTCTACCCAACAAGAGAAGCGGGATGATGACGCCTTTCGAGGCTTTCTACGGGTACAAACTGTCAATGGACAGGTACAGAATTTTTGGCGAACGGGCTTTCATCCATGTTCCAAAAGAACTGAGGAAGAAGCTTGATGACCGTGGTTTGGAAGCAAGGGTAGTAGCCCACTGCGATGACAGCAAGGGCTGGATTTTTCTTTTGGTTGATACTAATGAATTAGTTGGAGCTGCTGTTGTTGATTGGCCAGACAGGAAAACAACCAATCCCAGAAAACCGGAAGAGATTGTCACCCAAAAACAACTTGCAGACGAGAAATCCAAGGCAGCAAAACAAAAGTCACTAGACAACAACACAACGGCAACAGGTGAAGAAATAACAAGCACAACGCCGAAGAAGACAGATGTTTCTTTCATCGTTAATCTTTTTGAACTGGGAAATTTCGCTGATGAGGTCACCTTCCGGGACCAAGAACTAATGGTCGACCAAGTACTACTCGACTGTTCATTTTTTGCAGCTTCAGTTCCAAAAACGTTCAAACAGGCCCAAAAGACGGTAGCATGGCCGAAGTGGAAGGAGGCGATATCAGAAGAACTGAACAATCTTCTAGCAATGAAAGTCTGGTCCATCAGGAAAGTCCCACCCGGCAGAAAACCGCTGAGGGGCAGGTGGGTTTTCGCCGAGAAGCTCAATGACGCCGGAGAAACAATACGTTTCAAGGCTAGGTATGTAGCGAAAGGTTTTACTCAAGTCGTTGGGCTTGATTACAAAGCAACTTTCGCACCTACCACAACTTTTGTCTCGATGCGCCTGATACTAACCCTAGCAGCCAAGTTCAACTGGCAAGTTTACTCTTTTGATTTCGTAGCGGCGTACCTCAACGCCCCGATCGACGAAGAAGTGTGGGTCGATGCCCCAGAAGGCTTGGACGTAAAGCCGGGGGAGGCCATGCTTCTACATAAAGCACTGTATGGTACCAAACAGGCAGCGCGGTGTTGGTGGTTACACCTGAAGGGAGTACTCGAAAAGCTTGGTTTCGTTGCCAGCCAATATGACAACAGCCTTTACACAGTTAAACATCAAGACAAGCAGGGTGTAGTATGGATCCACGTGGACGACGGAATTGTAACAGGATCATCGACTGAGCTCCTCAAATCCCTCGAAAACGGACTGAAAGGTCTCCTCAAGATCAAGTGGTCGTGTGGGCTTGACTCAATCGTTGGTCTTGAAATCAAAAGGTCAACCA